TCTGCCAGTGTTGATCCTCAAACTCCTCCATTTTGGCCTCTAACTGTAGAGCTACCTGCTTCTCAGGGCTGTAGTGTGCCGACTTGTGAGACCAGTTACAGTTTCTTTTTTTCCATCTGCTGTGCTGCTAAATTAACACCAGGAAATACTGAAGAAAACTACACACAAGAGTGGCTCCGGCTGTCACTCCAAAACCAGTCATTCGATTTGTGATCTTGGAGTCTTTATCCTTTAAACACGTGTTATTTGAGCATCAGTTAGCTGAAATCAAGCCTGTACTGTGGTGGATGGAACTTTTAGCCTGCTAACTATCATTACATGTTAGCCTAGCCCTGCAAGCTACAGCTCAAAACACTACAGAACAGGCTTGAATTTCACTCCAACACCATTTTGCTCTCAGGCATGAGGATGAGGTTTTATACACTTGGAACAGCAGAGCACCAGTTAGATGAAATTGAACCTGTGCTGTGGTGTTTGGATCTGTAGGCCACTAGAAGAGCTAATGAGACTAAAGGAGCCAGCTGAAGGGTTACAGCCTATAGCTAATCTTGCATCAGAATAGCTTCTGTTTGTCAGAATTCAACCTGTTCTGTGAGACTAGCTGACTGCATGCTAGCTAAGCTAATGCTAACCATCGCTCTGAGTTAGAAGCACCATTTAACATTTAGCAGTTACTGTGACAAATTTATTGAATAGTGGATTGGAAATCTTGCACCATTTTTCATACAGAGCTCCTCCTCAGGTAACAGTCTGGCGTTTAAGTTTGAGGAAGGTGCTTTTATGGTCAAATGTGGGGGCTTTTCTCACACGGTCTGAGTGTTTTCCCTCACCACTACACCACCATCCTCTCAGTGTTGCTGAAAGAAAGCCACTCCAGATGAAATCCGCTGGAACCTTCTGGTACCACTCCAGCGTACCTAACGGCACACACATACACCTCTTTCACAAGAGGGAGACTCAGTGAGGGGGACCAGTTGGCAGACAGTTTTACTGCATAATTAACTCGGCGGTCTTCAGAAGGCAGAGCTACACTCAGAAGACACAGCTACACTGAGTCCATTTAACACACACACTGACTCACATACCCTTTGCTCATGCACATTAAAGTCCCCATATCCTCCATTTTTTTGTATATTTTATTGCTTTTCTCTGAGGGCCACTTATGGCATTTTTGTGGTTTTATGTACCAAAAACAGTTCATTTTTCCATGACCTCTCTTTTTTAAGTGTTAAAATACATCTTTTGCCTTTCAGTCAATTGAAATACTTCTAAACAACCTGACAGATGAGAGTGTATTTTTCTTAATTTTGTTTTATGTCTCCCTTTTATGTGTTTGTTTTGTTTTTTCCCTGCAGAACCCTTAAAGCTTTCTGTTGGTTTCTGAAGGTGTCCAGCAGTCACTGAGTGCATTTACATGCACTCAATAGTCCAATCATAACCAGATTTCTGCAGTTATCTGCAGAATTCACAAAACAGTGAATTCAAAAATGGGCGGCTTTTGCAGCTTAGTGTCCATATATGGACTGCATGGACTGGGGATTGAAAAATTTGAAACTTTAACAATGTTTGCTTACACTTTTTTCCAAAAATTCAGAAAACTTAGTTTTCCATGATATGGGCTCTTTAAAACCTGTTCCTTTTATGTTTGTATATTTCTGTTAAGAGGATTCCTTGGTACTGGCAACGAGGTGTGTTTAGTGTGTTTCCGTTGAGTGAGCTGCTTGGCATGCGAGTGTGTGTGTTTCGAGGCAGGGGGACGGGGGCGGAGCGTCACAGTCTGTGTGTTGTGCTCACTTCATTAGAGTTTAAGCGTCCAACAGGGAGCCTGCACTGCTTTTCACATCACACACATCACACACACCACCTGCGATTCCCATTACACACTACACACACACTGCTCAACACACACACCTCATATAACACAACAGTGTTCTGCATACGCACTCTGTGTGTACATACATGCTACATTAACTACAATGCAAATCATTTTTAGGCTCACGCATTCAGTCCACTGACTGCAGAGCGCAGATATCATTTGCACAAACGGTTCTGTAACATACATTCATTTTGAGCTGAACATGTCAGCAGTACCTGCTGTCCTGTAAGAACATACAGGCCATGATTTTTACAGTTTATTAGAATTTTTTCCTTTGTGTTTGCTGTGTAATGATATGAGAACATTCAGAAGATGTAGAAACCATGGATAAGTGAACACCCCCCCCCCCATCCTCTTCAGAGAACACACTTAAATACAGTATTTTTCTGCTAAAGCACAATTTTATTTGCTGAATTTAACATGTTAGAAAAGAACAAAACATAAAATTTTAAATATGCCATAAATTGTACACTTTTAATGTTTTTTTAATATGTTAAATCCAGCAAATAAACAGTAAATGTGCATTAAAATGTGCAGACATGTGCTTTCTATGGAGGATGTGTTACTTATTTTCACAAAAAAAACAAAATATGTTATTTGATCAGAGGCGCCCAAACTTTTGCCTACCACTGTATGCATTAAGGCAGCCTATTGGAGAAATAGTGCAGTATATATAGTGTATGGTGAGCAGTGAATCGGTTAAATTGGAATTCTACTGATTTTACAAATTATTTGCATAATTGTTAAGATGTAAACGAAGTCAGAGTGGTTTAATGACAAATCTGTCAGAACTGTTCACAGTGGTGGTGATAGGAACCAGATGTCCAGAGCTTTTAATGCCTCTAAAATCTCTCTCACAACTGTTAATGACTGTGCCGAATACAAAGTTTTAGTGTTGAGATTAGGTTTTGACCTAAAATGTATTTTCTAACTGTCACTCATGAGGTACATGCAAGACATTGTAAGGCAAAACAATCCAAAAGAAGACATGTTTTTTATATTTACCACTATTTTACCATTTCATTACATATAAACACTCATGTAGGCTTACTGGTCATCTTAGATGCCAAATAAAATGGCTGTATTTGTGTTGTATCACCACCAGAGTCTGTAAGTTTCACTACAGAGAATCAATTCATATCAAACCCACTCAAAATGACTTTGTTTACATCTCAACCACTGAATTATGCAGAATTTTTTTAAAAAATTGGTGGAACTGCCCTTTAATAAGAGAAGCATTCTCCAAACACAGCAACAATCCAGTTGACTTGTTACAGGCTCCGCCCAAAAATGCATTCTTTTGTAGCAGCTGTTGTGCTTTACGAAACCCCATCTGACATAATGAGAAACTGTAGGAAATGATTTGCTTCATTACACAGTTTCAGTTTAAATGCTTCGCTGCCGAACTGGACAACGAAACAGGATTTGCCTATTCCAGCCAGAATTTCATTTTAGCCTGCTTACAGGTTTGAAGGGGCCAGTCAGCATGCATTATGTCCCTGAGACATCGCTACAGTGAAGTGACCACTAACCTACTTCACTGTACGTTAAGAATTATCCACCCATTAGCAGTAACCAAAGTAAAGCACATTTTTGAATATTAAACTCAACATATGATTGCTGACCTGGCCTTTAACTGGCTAATGTAAGTAACTATAACAAATGAAAGCACTAGGTGTAAATGTCAAGGGCAAACGATTGAAGGTTGTTCTGTTGCTGTCATTTTTTCGCAGTACTGAACTTTTTATCATGGTTAACTACTATGTTCTAGGTAGAAAGGCTGTTGGATACAAATGTTCTGTGCCTTACTGCAAGACTGGTAGTAGTACATGACAAACAGCAGCACACAGCCATTTTAATCCTGCCATGGTGACAGCACAGACGATGACCAAAGGAGAGCTTTGTTAGTCTCTTTCATATCTTTAAGGTGGAAAAAAGTCCAGAGGATACATTAACTCTGTGTCCTTGTGCATGAACATTTTGTTTTCATTTTCGTTTTCATTAGCACTGGATAACTTTTTTTAAAGGGTCCATATCATGGAAAACCAAATTTACCTCTCTTTTTTTAAGTAAAGGAGTTTTAAGTAATACGTAGACAGTGTTAAAGTTTCAAAACGTACCATTTTTAATAAATAAATTGCAAACACAGGCTGTTTTGTATTCATTGTTTTTGTGATGTCAGAAGAACCAACTCACTTATTTGTATAGCCCACGGTTTATATCCACCCATTCCGCTTACAGCTGTTTAGCCACACCCATTAATATTATATTATAAGTTATAAGGAGTGTTTGAGCTCTGAGAGCTTTTTGAGGCCCAAAACAGGTCAGCCAATCAGATCAGAACTCATTTATTAAAACATGTTAAAATGAATGAGGACCATTTTAGGTACGTAAGTGGACCTTGAGGAAAAATTAAGCAGAAGAAAAATGTAGAACATGGGCTCTTTAATAGTCAACTGCAGGTAGGGGCTGCCTTCCAAATGGTGGGGCTGCAGCTACTCCTCTGGCCTATTCTCACAGTGAGACATGTTACACACACACAAACACACACAAGATAATATCATTTAAAATTAATAACACCTTCTGTACGTAGGCATGTTGAGAGAAACTGAGCTGTGCACTCGACAGTTGCTACAAAAGATTACATCTGTGGGCGAAGCATTGATAAATCAATTACCCTCCACTTATTAGAACTTTTTTCTTTGCGTAGTGCACACAGTCGCACACACACACACACTTACTGTGTGCTGTATAGTGATATGAGTGCATTCAGAGTTTTTGTGTAGCTGTAGAAACGCTGGAACACAGAGCCACTTCAAAACACACCAACTGACTTCCATTTATTAGAACTTTTTCCATGGTGAGTGCTGTATAGTGATATCAGTATAGTCAGCGTCCAGGCTCGGGGGCTGCTGTGTTGTCATAGAATCCCTGGAACACAGTGCCCGAGGCACCAATTGACCTCCATTCGTCTGAACTTTCTCTTTACTTTGGTGCTGTATAGTGATATGGGTGCATTCAGCGTTCAGGCTTGAGGGCTGCTGTGTTGTAGAAAACCCAGAACGCACATCCGCACAGATAAACACACAATTGACCTCCATTTATTTGAACTTTCCCCTCGTTGTGCACGGTATAGTGATATGAGTACATTCAGTCTCCAGGCCTGAGGGCTACTGTGTTGTCATAGAAACCTGGAACACACGCACACACATAGATACACACAAAATTAACCTCCATTTACTGCGCACGCATGACACACCATGGCTGGGTCTCTGACGGACTCGTGCTTGTTTGTGCGTCCCTCATATGACTTGAGTTGGGCTTCTCCATTGACTCCACTGATTGCCCTCACTGCATAGCTTCCATTGTCTAAAAAACATACAAATGGACAAGAGTCCCATAGAAATGGACTTTCACGTGAGCCTTCACACAGTCACAGGTGGGTGCTTTTGCTCACTGGTCACACTGGTCACACTGGCCATGCTGGTGGGCGGGGGGAAGGGGGACTGTAGAGGCCTATAAGCCCCCTGTGTCGGGTCCAGAAAGGCCGGGGCTGGAGAAACTGGGTGGGCGTAGCCAATATATTGTGGGTGCAGGAACTGCCCTTGGTGGGGCAGGATTTGAGTGGCCTGCTGGCAGTTGAGCACCGAGAAGTTGGTGGGCATGTTGACGTAGACGCTGGCGTCAGGGGGCAGGCAGCAAGAGGCCTGCGCTCGCAACAGAGGGGCGGGGCCAGGGCGGGGGATGGCAGGCGGACCCATGGAGCTGGTGGGAGGGGCTGATGAGCTGGAGGATGTGGCCGTGCTGGACTGGCGGGAGGAGGAGCCGCGGGACGTGCCGGCCATCATGGGGATGGTCTCCAGGAGACGCCCTCCAGATCCGCCCCCTGAACCTCCGGAGCCGGACGCTGGCTCCTGTTTAGGCCGCAGGCAGCGACAGCAGCACACGGCGATCACTGAGCCAATTAACACGAATGCTACGAAGACTGAGCCCACGATCAGGAAGGGCACGTAGATGGGCACTGTGGAAAGAGGGAGAGCAAAAACGGTGATGTTAATTAATTTTGTGAAACAAAACGAAAGGATATATTTATAGGCTTATATTTCACACATGTTGTTCTTCTACTTAAAAAGTCCATCTTAACATTTGTGTCTTACTTCAGTCATGCATAAACAGCCATTTTTACATGACCTCACGGTCCATGTAAATTTGTTATCTAAAATTAATCTGAAAAAATACATGAGAGATTGAGGAATAGTGTGTGGCACTAGCTGTATGGCAAGAAAAGCTGAACTGGCTTTAGTTTATGCAAATTAGAAGAAGCAGTCACGTAGTGCTGACCAATCAGGCAAAAGCAATGCGCCAGTTTGGATTACTCTACTGAACTGGTTCAAAGTCAGAGCTGAAAACACAATAGACTAAAATGCTTTTGCTTTGAATGACCCTATACCTTAAATATGTTTATTTTATTAAAATAAATGATTGAACATTCCCCTTTATCACTGATGTTACAATAATAACGCCTCTGGAACTTTACCAGTAACAAATTTAGTTAATCTTGAGCAGAACTCAAACATGCAATGAAGCGATTTTTACAGCATGTCAACACTTTACAAAATGCGCCTTGTTGTGTTATCTAACTTTACAATGTATCAAACTTAATGCTGCATTTGAGGGAATTTGCTATTCTGATTTCACTTAGCATCCGGTTTTTCATCCAGCTTTTTAAAGTTCAGTGTGCAAAATCAATACTCTGTTGTTTAACGTGAGGTGACCACATTGGTCAGTAATGTCAGTGTAATCCAAATAAACAGTCTGGTTTGGACTCTTGCTGTAACATGTGTAGTGCCCCAGAATTGTATGAAACAAGTTTTATTTTGAGAAACCTTGTGAGTTTTGCATTCCCGTCTATGAGACTATAGCAAAGGCAAACAAACATGAATGTCATGGTTAAAGCTATGCATGCCCCTTTCCACTGCCACATTTTTTCACTGAGGCATGGTGCAGTTTATTTAGGTTGCTATCTGCACGTTTATAGCCAACTACAGTTTAAAGAAATAGATTATTTGAGCAGGAATGCGTGTCATTAGATCCCGTCATGAACAGACAAGAATGAAGTGAGTAATATTTGAAACAGTGTGTGTGTGTTATTTGTTAGTGAATACTCATCACAGTATCCTGGGAAAGTTACTACAGTGCTGTTTTAGCTTGCCAGCACATTAGTTGCAATTATGTTTTCATTGTCACTGTACACCTGTTGCAATTGTCCATTAATTGCCGTGGGGTAAATAATACTGAAATATAATCTGTGTTACTGAGGACTTATGCGGCCCTCACATCCACAGAGACAACAAGTGTGTGGTGTGTAGCCTGAAACCTTGCTAATCTGAAACAACGCAGAAAAGCAAAGGTGTGAAAGGAGAGTTCTGTCCCACCCCGTCGAGTAAAGAGACGAGGGTATCTGGTTGCACAGTCACACCTTTGAAGTTCGGCATGATCCTCAGATCAGGGGGGCAGAATGCACACTGGTCAACGTGAGACGGCCAAATGAAAAGAGACAGAGAGGGAGAGTGAAGAGATGTGTTGCTGATGTGGCCCCAGGGGGCCCTGGGCCCTCATTAGCAGTTATTAACAGTGTTTTGATCAGCTCTAATCCACCGCCACCAGCTGCGACCTCTCTGCCCTTGCTGTCTGTGTGTGGGTGCCCACAAATGCTCCTAAGTTGACCTCTCTAACAAAGTAGTCCCCCACATCTTCACTGGTAGCAGCACCATTTTCAGTATGAAATTATACTTTGGTGAAAAAAATAAAATCAACATAAATTTTTCCACAAAAATGTAGTTAATCAGCAAAGACATGTTTGACGTTATTAGAAATGTGCTTTCAGAATCAGCCAAGAAACAGCAGACTGTTGCCCCGAGCGCACAATCTGCAGTCTGCCGATTTGTTATTTTTATTTTGGTTGATCTGTGTTGCAGATTTATGATATAAAATGAAAGCCAGGTGCACTCAAGCTGTATTTGAATGCTGCTACACCTGTATCAAAATGTTTATTTGGTATTGGAGTCATTTATGCATGACATATTGTGCTAATTGTCTTCTTTTAGAAAACTGTTTTCTTCCATTTCCAAGGAAAAATGCCAGTTTGGCCTAGTCAAGAGCAAATAATGTTATTTATATTGCTATACTGGCTTATAAAAAGTACTGGAACATGATGGTATGTTTCATTCCTGCTGAAAAAAAACAGCTTAGAGTGGCATAAATTCAGTGCTGGTCTAAGCAGGTTTTTACAGGTCTAGTGCTGACCTGGTGCTGGTTTAGCTGGACACTCAGCATGGTCATGCTGGTTGACCAGTATAGCAGCATCCAAACACAACATGTTATGCTGGTTTTGGTGGTAAGCAGCATCACAGCTTCTTTTGCTGCTGACCAGCACACCAGCAACCAAAGCATAACATACTGTCGCTGTCCAAAGAAAAACAAGCATCTCCAAAATGGTAAGTTTGGTAAGGAGAGGGTAAAAATGTTCTTTACTTTCAATGTAAGTTGCTGTAAATAGATATTAATCAATGCAGTTTTGGAGCATTTCTATTGGTCCATTTATCATGAAATTTTCACACAATGTAAAGGGCAGCTACTCAGATGATGTAGAAAGGTAAAAAATCAACAAAAATGGAGATGTTTTGGAGTGGTTCAAATGAACATCCTGGTTTTTGTAGTGACCAGTTATGCTGGTTTTTCTAGTAGTGACGTGTTCATTTAGCCAACACAGTGGGAGTTTGGGTTAAAAAGGTCAATAAAATATTAGCCAAAAAAAGCCCATTGGCCAATTGTAAGAAACCAGAATCATTCATAAACACTCACAATATGTGCATCCCTAAATGATATCTATAAAGACTTTTACACACAGCTGAAGACAGTAGTAGAAGCCATTTTGAGGCCTTACTTTTGTCTGTACTTTTATCTATGATCTGTTATAAGATGAGAATATTTAATACAACCACAATCTACTGAGATTACTAAGATCGACATGGTTTGAAGCGAGTGTGTGATGATTTAGGCATGCAATTAGCACAATGCTAATTTGTGGTTATAAGCTTCCATCATTTGTCAGCTACATTAGCCTGGTCGCTTCAAGGCAAAACTAAAACTAATCAAACTTCAGACACCGAACATGCCTTGGCTGAATTTGCGTTAAGGGGAAAACTGCATAAAATTAATATTTTGCTAAGGTATCACTATAACTTACATGACTCGGCCTAATGTATAATCAGTAGAGGCATATCACCAATTATACCCATGTAAATAGCATTTACAGTTAATGGAATCAACTTGTAGTCTTAGCGGAACACGTGTCCTGTTTCTGTTTCGCACTGGAACATGTGCATTAGAGGGAATGGAGTTCATCCTTCAGCGCTTATTGTTAAAACAGTGGGACATTCTGTAAAGCAGGGACATTTGACCCCAGAGTGGTGCGCATGGAGTTTGCTGGCAAATAGGGATTATGAGTGGCAATTTATGGGGGCCAGGTTCGCTGTCCTCAAATGTGAAACACAATAGGTAACTTGTTATATTGTTATATTAAAGCGATCTCTGTAGATCTATTGCTCCCAAGTGAAATTACTCATTTTCCAGTCAACCTAATCCACGGTGTATTAAGGTAAAGCTTAGTCATAACAATGAGAGACTTGGAACACCTCACTGGTTGTTGATGCTGAGGCATGCACTCTGGGATCTGCACTTTATTAAGCCGGTTTTGGCACAAGTCAAAAAGACACTACACTTAAATAGTGAAGTGAAAAGCAAGGTTTTTTTACACTGATGTGCCTTGGTAAAGCAGGATGTTAGCTTTGCTGTTCTTAGCCTACTTGTATCTCCTTAAAAGGTATAGTCTTATGACATGAGTGCACACCTGTTACATTTTTTTGTTCAAATGCAACCAGCCGTCTAGAGTTTGTCCCGGGCCAGACTGCAGCTGTCTTCTGTTTCCTCTTGCTTATACTCCATTGCAGCCACTATTAGCTTTACTAGCTTTGCTAGCTCAAATGTCTCAAGACTGTTTAAACTAGGTTTGGATTTTTGAGTGGGTGGATTCGGTCAGTTTTTGCAAACCCTTGTAAGAAACTTAAGATGTCCACTATAGTTTCTATAGTTTTCTCTTTCTGATGACAGGCTTTTTTCACAGTTAACCGTGTTAGCTTGCTAGCGCAGATTTCTCAAAGCTGTTCAGCTAGATTTGGATTTTGGGGGGGGGGGTTTGCTCAGTTTTTGCAAACCCTTGTAAGAAACTTAAGTGTCCGCTGTGCTTTTTAGTTTTTTCGTACTGATATCTTTCTTCATTTCACTCTTCACCTTGTTAGCGTGTTAGCTCAGATTTCTCAAGGTTGATCAACTAGGCTTGAATTTGGAGGTGAGAGGCGAGGGGGGGTGTTTTTCCCAGTCTTTTCAAATCCTTGCAATGAAACTTAAGCTGACCACTGTGCTTCACTACATTTTTTCTTTTTTCTACTGATATCTAACTTTGTAACAGGCTAATCCCCCTGTTTAAGGATATGAAGGTGAACTGTGTGGTTCGTATCACGATCCACAGACTGTAGAGGTGGGCACACAAAAATGGCTTTTTTTTCCTCTGCTTTTAGGAATACAAAGTCTTTTGTGAACTCTTCTGGTTGCCAGGATTGCTCCGGATTGTGATAAGCACTCAGAAAGGCCCAAAATGAGACCTCCAGACCAGACAACCATTTTTTACGGTGATCACATGGAAAGCCATTTTTTTTGTTGGGACTCCTGCTGTTTAAAGTACTCCAATGAAAATGTGTTTTTGGGATTTAAGAAATGATGCATAACACAAAGGGGGAGAGAGGGGGGTTTTGTATTCATGAGGCTCCAGCAGTGGGGGCTGTGGGGATCTGGTCAAGTCCAAACCTGATCCACAGGTTTGTTGAGAGGGGGGGTGTGAGATTTGTGCATGAGTGCAGTAGCAGCAGCGGCAGCCAGGGTAACATGCACATTACCGCGAGAACAAACAGGGCTATTTATAACCCCGCACAGGAACAATCTGCCATTTGTGAGCTGAGTGGCCCGCTTTGCTTTATAGGGTACCCATGAACCCAAAAGCAGCTGCGACAGCCAATTCAAATACATGTACCCTTAAAATCATACACCCTATAAGAAAAGGATGATTGGGAACTGCTTTTATTTTCTCTCCCTTGGAACTCCATACCTGGCTGCTTTCTATTCTGTTTAAAATAGTGTTTCTTATTTAAAATAGAATCAAACTCACTTGAGTTTAATTGAAATAACTGTTGGGCCTGAGGACTGAGGAAAGACAACCAATTTCACCAACTATAGAAGATCACAACATAAATACAGTGCAATGAAAGAATACAAGAAGAAAAGAATTTTAAAGAACTTTTTTAAAAAAAAGATCTTACAGGGTGGATTCAGGTATTATGGGTCATAAAGGGACAGTGAGGTAGACAGTATGGGACATTGTGTTAGATCATGACCCTGCTGTATATCACACCTCTATAACATGGCACTGCTGTATTTCACTGCTATAACATGGCACTGCTGTATGTCACCGCTATAACATGGCACTGCTGTATGACACTGCTATAACATGGCACTGCTACAACATGACAATGCTGTATTACACTGCTACAACATGGCAATGCTGTATTACACTGCTACAACATGGCAATGCTGTATTACACTGCTATAACATGGCAATGCTGTATGTCACTGCTATAACATGGCATTGCTATTTTACACTGCTACAACATGGCACTGCTATATTACAATGCTATAACATGGCACTGCTGTATAACACTGCTATAACGTGACACTGCTATCTTACACTGCTACAACATGGCAATGCTGTATTACACTGCTACAACATGGCAATGCTGAATTACACTGCTATAACATGGCAATGCTGTATGTCACTGCTATGACATGGCATTGCTATTTTACACTGCTACAACATGGCACTGCTATATTACAATGCTATAACATGGCACTGCTGTATGACACTGCTATAACATGCCACTGCTGTATATGACACTGCTATATAACGCACTGCTGTATTTTACTACTATAACACGGCACTGCTGTATATCTCTCCTATATGTGGCACGGCTGTATATCACACTGCTATAACATGGCACTGCTGTATAACACTGCAATAACATGACACTGCTATATTAAACTGGTACAACATGGCACTGCTACATTACACTGCTATAACATGGCACTGCTGTATGACACTGCAATAACATGGCACTGCTATATTAAACTGGTACAACATGGCACTGCTACATTACACTGCTATAACATGGCACTGCTGTATGACACTGCAATAACATGACACTGCTATATTAAACTGGTACAACATGGCACTGCTACATGACACTGCTATAACATGGCAGTACTGTATAACACTGCTATAACATGGCACTGCTGTATGACACTACTATAACATGGTACTGCTATATGACTGCTATAACATGGTACTGCTGTATGTAACAGCTACAAGATGGCACTGCTCTGTGTACGTCACTGCTATAACATGGCACTGCTGTATGTACATCACTGCTATTACACGGCACTGCTGTATGACACTGCTATAACACGGCACTGCTGTATGTACGTCACTGCTATTACATGGCACTGCTATAAGACTGCTACAACATGGCACTGCTGTATGTACATCACTGCTATTACATGGCACTGCTATATGACTGCTATTACATGGCACTGCTATATGACTGCTATTACATGGCACTGCTATATGACTGCTATAACACTGCACTTCTATATGACTACTATAATATGGCACTGCTGTATGTACGTCACTGCTATTACATGGCACTGCTATATGACTGCTATAACATGGCACTTCTATATGACTACTATAACGTGGCACTGCTGTATATTACACGGCTATAACTTGGCACTGCTATAACATGGCACTACTGCATACAGCACTGCTGTACATGACACTGTTATAATATGGCACTGCTGTTTAACAAGGCAAATGCCACTGCTGTACGTGCCACTGATGGCATTACTTGGCCTTGTTATAACATGGCACTGGTAGCATGGTACTAACAAAACTTGGCACTACTGTATAACTGCCAGTACTATAAGATGGCATTGTTAAAACATGGCACTGTTATAAGTTCATACACAGCACACTTGGACATGCCACCACTTTAAGACAGCACTACCATGACACATGGTGAATGGTGTATATTCCACTTGTTGGTTATTAGATGACACTGCTACATGGCACACGTTGCTGCTGTGAGCAGCATGATTCAGACAAAGAAGCACTTTTGGCCTCTATCACATGGAAACAATGACAACAATGACTCCCAGTGTTTACCTGCGCCTGTGTTTTTGTCCTCCTTGCCACCTTGCCCGGCTCCCTGGCCGGGCTGCTGCTCGTCCTCGCAGCTACCCTGGTCCAGCCGGGCCTCGGTGCTGGAGCAGCAGTAGCGCAGCTCACACTGGCCGCAGCAGATGATGGCCTCCGCGCCGTCGAAGCGCTCCGGGCAGGGGAAGCCGTCCCTCCACACGCCCTGGGAGTCTCTCCAGGCATGGCAGTACTCCCCGCTCGCCTTTACGTTTAGACTGGTCAACAGTGTCCAAGCCACGGCCAGGGCCATGGGGAAGCCCCTGCCCTGCATGCTGCCACCGCTCTGAGAGACCCTCTGTGCAACAAAAACGTCCCTTTCAGACCAGCCAATTGGCTAAATTGGTAAATAAATGAGATTAAGAGCGGACGGGCTGCTGAGTGGAGTCGAGCCAAGAGGTTTAAGAATGTCATTTGACAGAGAAATTCAATTAGGCAGATCCACCAGCGCGCGCAGCCGCGCCAAAGTTTTGCCAAAGTCTCGCAGCAGCTTCTCTTCAATTTGAATGAAATGTTGAGACGTATTCAAGCCGATAAATGCCTAAGTGGATTTTTTTCGGCAAGGAAGAAAGAAAGTGGGAAAAAACCCAACATCTAACGCGCCTATTAGAAAGTTTAGGGACCTGAGGCAAAGTTGTGCATCAAACCCGGTTCATGCTGAAGCGAGGCAGTCAGTCCATGTCCGCTGAAAAATAGCCTTCACTTCTCAAATATCTTCCCCAGAGATACGGCGAAACCAACACTGACTCCGCATGTAATCCATCCCTCGCATGGCTTCTCACGAAATCCCTTTATTTTCGACCAGACAAGCAAGTTGGGTTGTTTTTTCTATTTTTTCTCTCCTCTCTCACTAATCCATGTCATGCGCTTATTACCTCCTCAGAAGTTCCTCCATTCAAACTGCAGACAAGTCGCAAACAATCACTGCAGCAGCATATGTCTGATTTGTTTCAGACTTGTTCCCCCTCAAGTGTCATCTACCCTACAGAAGCTGAAGATGTCCCCCTCCTCCTTCTCTGAGGGCATTTCTGACATCCTTTCCCAGCTCCAGGAGGTATTAAGCTACCCATTTAGCAGCGCTTGCGCAGTGGCCAACTACTTTACCACTTTTTTAAACCTTTTTTTTCTTCTGGACTTTTTACAACTCTCTGCCCCTGTTTGCCAGCGCTAACTAGCAAGTGTCATCAGTTATAGCGTCTCTTCTGTAGCGCAGGAGCCGCCATGCGGTGGTCTTGCGAATCTCAGTGTGTCCAAAAACAGGTGGGGAAACCGATGGTTGTTTCTTAACATACCTGTATTCGAAAAGCCCCGCCCCTCCAGCGCTAGGATTGGCTATTTGAGCCTCGAGTTCTAGAACGATAGAGTGCTGGTCTCTGCTTGTGTGTAAAAACATGTAGCCAATCATAGGGCAGGGGGCGGGGCTTTATCGACACATGATTTGTCAATTACTGCTGATAGTTCTGAGCATTTTACTTAAAAATTGGCACTTAAAAATTAAAATTACTTAAAAATAGAGTTTTTAGAAATTCTCATATTCAATAATCAGCAGAGTATTTAAGTTAGAGAGAGACAGAGAGAGAGAGAGAGATATGTATATATAGATATATAGATATATAGATATATGTCTATTATTCTAATACTTTGGCTTACTGAGGTTGAAGATCAGCAAACTCCGGTGTTGAATTATACATAGCTATAATGCTCACTGGGAGAGTGGAGTGACACTTATTAGCCAATACCACCACCTGATGGACAAAATTACTTTAAGCAGAACCCTGGACTATTTATTTATTTATTTGGTTATCTAAACTGAACTAGACTGGGATTCTCTATTCCAGTCTTATACTCCTTCTGCTCTGTTTTGTGATTTCCTCTTTCAACACTTAACTTCATACTGACCTGATCACCAACTGATGATGAGGCAGGTGTTTTGTAAAGCGTTACAGGGCTGAAGGTGAGATGCACTGATCTAGTCTGTTAGCCTACAGTGAGTTCAAATTGATCGTTCACTGCAATCTTGATATAAAATAAAGTATCTTGCTGAGTTTATCCTGTTTGTGTAGATCTGAACGGCGTTATTTCCAGCTGGCCCGTTTTCAAAATTGTCCTGTTGCACGAAGCGGGTTCAAGATTGTGGGACTCTTATGTTGAAAATTTGTCAGATCGGCGGTGCTTTTAAAAAATCAGTTGCTCTCTTCACAGTTGTTGTCTGATTAACAGTTTCTCGGTGGTTCTAGTCAGCACAGAGAAAATTAGACGGGACAGTCGCTTATTTGCACCCACAAGGTAAACATACAGCTATTCTTACTAGTTGTTAGTCGTTTTTTTTTCTGTTTCGTTGTATTTAAATGCGAAAATGGCTCTTTGCTGTGCTTTCTTCAGGTAAACGCTGAACAATGCTCGATTGGCCTCCTGTATAATTAACCGTAACGGTGAGCAAACCTTAGAAAACAGAGTTAGCATATCGATAGGCTTCCTATTCGCCGGCTTCTTACTCGAAGTTTCCATTCTGTCCTGTACAGGTGACTGAATATAACTGTTTTACAACTTAAGGTGGAGCAGAAAATGTCAACTTCGTGTAGCTGTCGTACAGTAAACTGACTAGCTAGCGTCATATGTTACTAAGTGGCAACGGCTATGCTAGCTAAGTTAGTTTGTTGGTCTTAGTTAACAGTTATATCTGCTCAAAGTCTGTAACGTTAGTATTGGTATTAGTTATATAGCTCACGCGGCTAATGCGGTATAAATTACCTCAGCTAGCTACAAGCTAACTGTATAATGCCGTAAGTAGGTGATGTAGTGGACAGTTGTAACCAGACTAACCACAGTTCTGGCATCGCTGCTGACTTTCTTGTGTTGTCAGATGTCGTTTGTGAGGATTAACCGCCGACCAGGGCGAACTAAGAAAGTGTCTGTTCCCAAGAAAGAATGGGTGGTAAGTGATGTTTTAAAGGTCCCATTTATTGAAAAATGAATTTCCCTCACTTTTTCGAAACAAGAGTTTGATGTGGTTTGTAAACCTTGTTAAAGTTTTAAAATGTACCATTCACTCCCCATTCCATGCATCCTTATATGAAAACTGTTTTGAATTAATTGTTTTTCTGATGTCACAAAAACCAACACATTTGCATATATTCACCTGTTCAGCCTTCAGTAGTTTAGCCCTGCTCATTCACACTGAAGCCATAAGGACTGTTTCACCCTGGATCAGTAGCCAGTCACAACAGAGGTCATTTACTTATATCAGACTTAAAGGCCTCAATTAAAAAAACAGGCTGTTTTATTCTAGGAATAAACAGAGGTTAAAAAAGGGTATTGTAAAAATGAATTATGACTGCTCTGCAAAAAAAAAAAAAAGAAATGGACGCAACTGTCGGATATGGACCCATAAATGAATGAGATTGGAAAGTTTGAGTTTTGTTCGTTCTGAATTTCCCTTTTTCTTCTACAGAGCACAGTCACTGACCTCTCGGTGCATAAAGCTACTCCAGAGGAATTGGTAGGGTCTTTTCATAATGTTTTGTCTTAAATCTATGTCTCAGTCTTTGTTGAGTTTTGCTCAGACTGACTGCATCTTGGCCTTTTACCTTGCCTACTTTTTTAGTCCAGACGTCATGAGATGCACAAGTCCCACAACAAGGCACTGGCGCAGTGGGAGCTGAGGGAGAAAGGCTTAAAGCGTATGCAGAAAAAGGCCCATCCAGCGAGCCCTCCTGGATTGGATCAGGCCAGGCTCAGGATCATCAGAGAGGTACACTTGAAACTCCTCATGAGTGATGCCACTATGAATGAGCGTTTTTACTAATTGATTCACAAGCATCTCAACAGATGTTCAGTTAACTGCAGGGAAGGGAAAATAACATCTGGTGTTAATATAATTTAAATATAATTCCCTCATCCTACCTCATCTTTGTGATTGACAAAAGGAATATATTAAAATAATAGATTAAGATTTTAAGGAAGATACAGTAGAAGATCTATTAAATGTCAACAAATAATCTTGTTACAACCAGGCCATGTGTACTTCTTAACTTGTACATAACTTGTGCAATTAAATGATTTCTGCAAAAAAAAAAAATCTGATCACTAAATTATTGACCTGTACAGTTTCTCTTGCACCTACAGCAGTGTAAAGTATTTAAATATAAATTTCAGTATTGGAACATGGAACAATTTAAGGGTGATACCTGTGATATTGCAAAATGTCTACATATTGAAATCGTAAAGATCTAAACAAAGTCATTTAGAGTGGTTTGATGTGAAATTTTCCATTCTGAGAAAAACTTACTGAGTCAGAATTGTTCACAGTAGTGGTGATGGGAACAAGAGATCTGAATTCCTTTAAAAGCTCCCTCAAAGAAAATGAATACATGAAACGGTTATAGATAAGCTGCTTGATGCCTGAAACATTGTTTATGATAGTTTTGAGATGAGCTTTTGGCCTAAAACATATTTTAAAAATCATGTCATGGTGGAGAGACACACGCAGGATGAATAAGGCAAGATAGCTATTTTAACCTTATATATAAGTTATATATGGGTTCACTGGTTATTATGCATTATAAATAATATGGCTAGATTTGCAAGAAATTAACAAATCATGAATTTTTGTGGCGGGCTACGATGTCATTACAGCAAAATTGGCCAACGTGTTTTAAACCCAAAGCTCACAATTTTATGAGCTAAATGAACACAAGAAACACTCTAGCACAATTCCAGAAATTTCTGTTAACCAAAGTTACAACATAATTATCATTATTTGCTCTTTAATAGGCCAAACTGCAGTTTTAAATTAATAAGCAAAAAATGAGTATTTAAATAACATGAATCAACATAAGTTTTATATCCAAAGTAGGAAGTGACTGGTTATTTAGTACAGTGAGTCATGCATAATTATGCTACTACATTTTGGTACAGGTGTAACAGCTACAGCACGGATGCCCATATTTGGGCACAGATTAGCCAAAATAAAAATAATAAATTTGGCTGATTTTCTGATTGCGTATTTAGGGTAAAAATCATCTGATTCCACTCTTGCCTGATTACGATTATCAGAGTTACTATTAGTTGTTATTAGAGTTCATTTCTAATATTTGTGACATTATGGTACGCTGTTCCTGTCACCACCACTGTAAAGAAATCTGAAAAGGTTAGTTTCTCTACAGTGCACCATTTTACATCAAACCACCCTGAATTACCTTTTACGTCTCAATGATTGAGTTATGCAGATATTTTGGAAAGTTGGTGGAATTCCCCTGACTATAGGGTTACCACTGCACATCAGTAATGCCCATAGTAGTTAATCCCTGGTTCGACACCATCGGGCTTTTAAACTGAGAGTGTTCTTCAAGGTCGTCCTGTAGGCTAGACGTTTTACCTCTCTGTATCCTTTTAAAAGCAATCAGATGGGAACACTTGCCTTTCTTTCCTGGTCTGCATGCATGTGCATATAATTGACATTAATCGATCAGGTCCCCCAGACAAGTTACCCAACGGGGTACCACTTTGATCTTCATGAATTAAAGTGAAATTGATCTGAGCAGTTAGTTACTGTTTAGCATAATGATGTCTATGACAGGTTCTCTGTCATTCTGTTTGGTGAGATCAAAGATAACGGGCTGTTGAAAGGCTGATTGTTTTTACTAGAACACGAATGATTAAACTTCACTTGGCCCATTATCTTTTTAACCAGATTGGATCACTGCAGTATGAATCTCTGTGTTCATGTAGGTGTTGTCAGATCAGTGCCAGCTGCAGGATGTTCTTGCACGGTCTGACAGAGCCATGGCGGTGGTGAAAGATCTGTTTGGTGATGCCCCTCGCAGACAGACTGGTACTGCTTTATCTATTCACTCATGCTTAGTAATGTTTTTTTCAAGTGTTATTCTCCTCTTAGGGTCATGGATGTGCATGTTTTGCAGGGTTTCCTAATGTTACCATGGCACCTGACTGTGACTCTGATTCGGAGCTCCCTGTTCTGCAGAAACCAGATCCGCCCACACAGCTCTCACTTCTCAGCCAATCCATGATGGACCAACAGGTTGATGTTTATGTCATATATATTCTGTAGCTGATGTAATTTAACTTTAAATTTAAATGTTAAGCAGTAAAATATTGTGTTGTGTACTTTGCAAAGCGAGTTAAGAAAAATATGGTTGGTATAGTGTAGTGGGTAACACCTCTGCCTTCTACACTGTAGACTGGGGTTCAATCCCCACCTGGGTAAACCCCCTACACTATACCAATAAGAGTCCTTGGGCAAGACTCCTAACACTACCTTCGCCTACCTGTGTAAAATGATCAGACTGCAAGTCGCTCTGGATAAGAGCGTCTGCCAAATGCCATAAATGTAAATGTAAATGTAAATGTAAATATGCAATTAAAAAAAAACATATTGCCCCTTAAAAAATATCATTTCAGGGGCTCCCGAGTGGTGCAACCGTCTAAGCGTTGGCCCTATCATCAGGAGATCGCGAGTTCGATCCCTGGTGATGCTACAGCCATCCGTAGCCAGGAGTCCGAGAGAGCACAATTGGCCTCGCTCTCTCTGGGTGGGTGGGATGGCCCCTCCCTCTCCCCCCATCACTCAGCGCAATGCTAGTCAGCGCAGGCGTCTGTTAGCTGACGTAACAGATCTGGCGGTTGGCGCTTTCCTCCGAGCGCGTTCAGCTGTCCAATGACATTGCGTTAGCGGCAGTTCGAAAAGAAGTGGTGGTTGGCTTCACAGGTCTCAGAGGAAGCCTGTGTTAGCCTTCACCCTGCTAGCGTTGATGGTATCGTGTGATTGGGGGAGTCCTAACTAGTGGGTGGAATTGGAGACGACTAAATTGGGGAGAAAATTGGGTAAAAATTAAATTAAAAAAATAAAATATTAATAATAATATCATTTCATACACTGGCTGACAAAGTATGTGTGTGAAATTTGTCAGCTATTACCTGTACCTGTGCCTGTACCTGTCTCAAACTTTTAAAACAAAGTGAATTTTTGCCTGCCTGAATTCCCAGAGTCATATGTATGGTTGCTATATGTTATATTTGGCCAATATCATAATATAATGAAAGTATGTATTACATGGAGTAAATTCTTTATTGGCAATATAAGAAACAACTGTGTGTGATTTTTATATATGGATAATTCTACCAAATGAGTTCAAACTGCAGTCACATAGCAAAAAAAAGTAAGTATTCAGATCTTAGATATTTACAAGGATTATGTTATGATGGGTTTAAACCCAAGGCATTAACAGAGACAGTAATAAACTAAATATATACAAATTTATCATTTATAGGGTACTTTTTATTGGGAGGTGGCTGTACAAAACCCTGACACATAAATTTCAACTTACACTTTTATGTACTTTATTTTCAATTTGTTTTCCTTCATTTCTTTTGAAATTAAGTTGAACGATTTTTGATGTATCATGAGTTTAATTATTAAATAAAAAAAGCTTTTTTGGAGAAAAAAAAATGCTGTTTTAGTCGGTAGGCAGGGCCTTATTTCCACCCCACCCCTACATTTTAGTGCAGGAAGTGAAGCTCCATCCCTGCCCCTCATGGCCACATAGTGAGCTGTTAGATCCCACTGTTTTGGAGTAAATTTGTCCCAAAGTCTGAAAATCAGTGTGTAACATTAGGAATTATCAATACTAAAACACACTTTCTGCAATAAAGTGTTATTTAGTATGAGGTCCAAGGTATGATAAGACAGTGAAGTGAAAGTAAAATTATATTAGTTATATTTAATGAGGAATAAGTGATACTCATACTGGGGCTGATCGATTTTAGGAAAATATCTGACTGTGAATTTTTTTTTATATCTTGTTTTAAGCCGAATGCTTAAGGAATAAAATTTAGTGTGTGATTTTATATTTGTTTTGCAGCTTTCAAAAACTGAAATGCTTAAACTTAAAATTCAAGTCTAAAACTTTCAATTATGGAATTTTTTTTCACTTTCCACCTAAATGTTTCATTAAAAAAATTTTTTTGCTGCCCAATTAAGACAAAGGGAAATCTTACAGCAAACGTTTGCTTAAGAACTGTTGTGAAACGTCTTCCTCCAGTGTCCTTTTACTTTGTAAGGGAGGACATTAGATAAACTTTTTTAAACTCTTTTTTTCAGGCCTTAAATGAGTTGGAGGATTCTGCAGCGGAGCATGGGGAGGATGATCAGGACTCTTCAGTCAGCTTTAACAGTGAAATGTGCAGGTCCTAAGAGCTAATTAAATCTTAACAAATAGTGGGTGGTGATGACTAGTCTGATGGACAATTAGTCAGTTAATTTCATGTCATGCTTTTCAGGCCAAAGAGGAAAACGTGTAAAGCTAAGCCTCCTCAGTGGACTATAGACCAGCGTCTGCAGCAGCAGAACCTTCCTCAGACTCCGTGTAATGCAGCAGGATCAGATCAACAAGCAGGTAGGAGCAGTTTAATTTATGTTCACCTTGTCTGATAAAGTCTCAACATGCTGATTTTATGTTTCTCTTTCTCCCATTCCGGAAAGCTCTGAATGCAACAGTGGCTGTGGAGCGTTTAAAATCGAGGCAGTCTCAGTCAGACACAATACAGTCCACCACTCTGGTTACTCAGGTCCTCAATCCTGAACCTGCTACCTCTCATTCAGGTACACTTACCTCTACCCTGATTAAAAAATGAAATTAACACTATTAGAATAGGGTTGCTTTTTCCCAAAGGAGGTTCTGTAATGTAGTTTGTAAGGAATTTGACTGGCTGACCTGTACAAGATAAAGTCTTTATAATTTCTCCAAGTTTCTGGATTGAAAGCTTGGATGTACATCTCATCTTTAGACCACATTACACACTTCAGGTAAAAGAATTATAGTATTACTGTTCATTGAAAGAGGCATATGTAGGCTTTCACTTCACTATTTTGTTTAAAAGTAATTAATTAAAATTAAAAGTAAAGAAAAGTTGTCTTTCAAAAAAATGGATTTATGGCTTATGCAAAAGTTTAGGTGAACCTGGTTAAAGTGAACATATGTGCACATCAGGATTCTGGACTGTTTCTAGGTCACTATTCGAATGTATGCAGCTTTTTAACATTGACCATGTTAAGGCCTTTGTACAAAAATGGTCAGATCTTTAAAAAATTCTTGTCTCTTTCATTGAGGCTTATGTTTACATGATTCTTAGGTGAATTTGATCTAGGCATTAGAGGATTTTATACAAACGCATGCTAGCTTGAGTGCACACTGTCATTAAAGCAAAAGGTAGGCTTATCAAGTACTAAGAAATTAAGAAATTCATATTAAAATTTCAACGATTCTACTTTTCATTCAAATGATTACATTGATAATATAATGTGTAATGGAAAAGCTTTATTCAACTAGGCAATAATGTAAAATAGTGTAGAATATTTTTTCAGACTTTTGGACCCGGCTGTAAGTGGTAATTGGCTGTGACTAAACAGACAAGAGAGGTTCCTGTCCATAAACGAGACATATGTTGCATTACACAGTTAACATGAGATGTTTGTCCTTAACCATAGTGTGTCTTTCAGGTGGTAAAAGCAAGTCTTCCAGGACAACCAGAAGGTGCTCTCCAGGAACCTCTGGGCTGGATGGGTCTGGGTTCAGCTCTCAGAGTGCGAACCAGTCCAGTCTGGAGCTTTTGCAGGACATGCTGGGTCAGGTGGAAACAGAGCTGGCCTATCTGGAACCACAGGGGCCTCTCAGCTCATCTCAGCCGCCTAATCTGCATCGGGGCCTCACTGGCTTCTCTGTAGCACTGGTGGCCACTCTGGGACGCATTGCCAGTCACCTTAGACGAGTGAGGAAACTCATTCTTGAAGTTATAGTTTTGTGTAAACGGTTTCCTCCTTTACTCCAAATGTGTTTGATCAGCCAAAGACAGATTGGTGTCTGAAGTTTGCAGCTGCAAAATTAATGTTGCTAACAAGTGATGGAAGTAATTGCACTCAACAATTAGTGTGATGCATCAGTAAATAAACGTATGTACGTATACCATGTTGGTTCTCTTAGAGAGAGGAGGAGGCTCAAAAAGAGGCACAAGTGAGAAAGAGTCTGGAGGAGGAGGTCGGGGAGCAGAGGGCTCTGATTGATGCCCTCTCAGCTGAGTGCCTCTCACTGAGGGAGGAGAGCGCTGCACTACAGGTTAGTAATTTTAATTGCTTATAGCAACCAGGTAACTACTTTGTTTGCTACATATGTTTTCTCTTTGCGGACTAATAATGACAGCAGTTCTGTGCTTATGGTCACCCAGTACTACTTTTTTTTAATGATAAATGATTTTAATTATTTATGAAATTACAAGCAGTTATACCAAATATGGCGATGATGCATTGAGCAGCGGGTTATAGCATACAAAGTGGGATTGACTGATGTCATGGAAGAAAAAAATAACTGTGTTCTACTGACAAGTGGAAAAAGACAAGTACTAGTAATAAGTACTAGTACAGTCCAGAGTAAAACCTGAGTGTTGTGGGTTTTTTTTTGTTTCCAACCCAGGAAAGTCTCAGAGAACGGACAACAGAACTTGAGCAGCGCCTGGACATGGTGATCCTGGGGCTGGGAGATTTAGGAAGTGGAAAAGAAGAGAGAGAAATAGAACCACAAGATGGTGCAGTGCCAAGTAATTATTTCTTACTCTTATATTTACAGCTGAACAACAATGAAAACCTAGATCATGTTTGTAGGGCCACTAAATAAACCAGATAATGAATCATAATTAATTAAAAAGTTGAATCAAAATGTCTTATGTTTCTGCTCATAGTGTCAGATATTTAAAGTTGGAAAAAAGTTTAAAGATAGTTGGAAAGTGGAAAGCATCATATTACATTGTAATTTAACAGCTGCATAAAATGGCCAAAAAAGGCAATTAAATTGTTAATTGCAATTATTATGACAATAAATCGTTAGTTTAAATTTCCTGATTGTGACAGTCTTAGGCCCATATCATGGACATCCACATTTTTGAAGCATGTAGTGTCAAATTACTCCCTAGTCCAAAAATAAACATAATACAAAACTAAGCCACAAAAACAGCCTGTCTTAAATGCATTTTTTGTGATATCATGGAAAACACACTTCCAACTATTCAGACTAGAGCAATTGAGCCCTGACCATTCACACTGAAGTTAAAAGGAGTGTAACAGCCTGGAGTGCTTTTTGAAGGAGGCACAATACAGGGCAGCCAATCAGAACAGAGGTTGTTTGCATATATCAGATTTAAAGGCTCAGTAACCAAAACAGCCTGTTTAATTCTAAGGGATAAAGCGAGGTTGAAAGATGTTCATGTAGAAATGAATTGCAACTGTTTTGGGGGCATAAAACCACACAAACGCTGTAAGTGGACCTCAGGGCAAAAAAAATAAAATGCAAAAACATGTTGGATATGGACTCTTTAACAAATGAATGTTGCTGTTAGTGACCCCTCCTTTTCAATGCCAAAATGAGAAATGGGTTACCCCGCAGCAGAGGTCTCACAGATGAATCCAGTTTCTGGTCCTAATTTTGTAATCACTGGTAGTTAATTGAGCTGTTGATGTAACTGATTAAACACAGTGTTATACCTGCCAGTGTTTACAAAATCCAGACTGAAAAATGAATTTAAGGTATAAAGCTGAAGACCTCTGCCATGCAGAACCACAGCCTCGTGGTCCTCACAGGTGTGTGCGAGTCATACCTCAGGGCTGCGAGTGCACCAGTTAGGACAGAGCTAACATCCAGAATGTGTTGTATGTTTACAGGAACTGATGCTATGCCTCTTCACACTGAACGGCTTCCACAGAAGCAGGTCTCCGAAACTCCCGCTGTTTTGCTCTCTCCTCCACGCCAGAGAGACAGCAGAGCGCCTCCTGCAGGTGAGTGCGATGGAGAGCAAATGAGGTTCTTTGTGACCTTGTTGCCATGTCTCTGCTACTAGTGATGAAAGATGCTAATAATAATGATGCTGTATTCCCATCTTATTCAGAAACAAAAAAGCGTATAAATAAATGATTTTGCACATTTTGTAAATATCAGAATTCATCTCTCTTCTATCAGCAGCTCGTTCTCGCTCTTTGCGCTTTGAGGGTTCTCATTCGACGGCCAGTGCTGGGTCGCTGGAGGACTCTGAGGCCCGCTGCACTCCTTCCTCCTTCATCAGTCTGCCCGATAGTGTCTTGCCACGTCCAGTCCCGCTGCTGGACCATCCACCCCAGTATGCAGGGCTGCAGCAGATCGCAGAGTTGACCAGTCAGAATGGGGTGATTCAGGCTCAGCTGGGCCAGTTCTGTCCTTCTCACACAAGAGCTTCAGTGTCCAGAGAGCTGGACACAGACAGGCTGTCCCCTGTCAACACTAAAGACAGGCAACCATCACCCTCTACTGGACAACAGCCAAAGCAACAGGTGAAATTTCTTATTGTGATTTTTATTAACTCTGACTGAACTTAAGGAGTAAATCTGTGTAAATCAGACTTTGGTCTCATTATTGATATTTTAATAGCTGTAACACAAAGCTAAATCACTGTAAATCTGAATTAGCTGTCACAGTAAAAATTATTATTTTTTGTTTATTTATTTTTTTTTTTTCGCTTTTTCTTGCTAACTAGTACTAAACCAAGTATTATGAGGCCTGCTATTAAACTACAGTACTGTGCAAAAGGCAGACACCATCCTTCATTTTTTACATTTCCATTGAAAACAACCATGAAATACAAGTTGTTCATTTTCAGGAGATATTTCTGAGGAGACTAGAAAAAAGATAATCCACTTGCAAAAAAGGAGAAAGTCAAAGGAAACAAGTTACAAAAAGAAGTAGTTTCCAAAGTGGAGTGCAGAATGTGCAAGGCCTGGTAGACCATCAAAACTGTCCCCATCAGATAAACAGTTCTTAAAGCGTTCATGTTTGAGAGACAGGAGAAAATCAAGCTTAACTCTTGCTTCAGATCTATAAAAATCCACTATTGTTTCTGTCCATCCTTCCACTATGAGAAGACATCTCAACGCTGTGAGTCTGAAAGGATGTGTGGTTGTCAAGAAGACCTTACTGAGAAAAGAAAACAGACAAAAAAAAGAACATTTGCAAATCAGACAAAGAAACTGAAGGTGTTCTCAGAACAATGTACTGACCACCCCAGAGTCCAGACTCCAACATCACTGAATGTGTTTGGGATTATTTGGATGGTGAGAAGCAGAAAGTGAGACTAAACTTTGGAGGTGTGGAAAAATGTTCCTATAGATTTCTTTGAAAAACTAAAGGCAGGTCCGCTGAAAAGAATGCAAGCTAATAAAGGCAACGAGTGCACACACTGAATACTAAAAATATGTTATGTTTAGTTGTTGAGACCTCTATGTAATTTTCTGTCAAATATGTTTTCTACTTTTTTCCTGATGCTGAAAAATAATAACTTGTACATTAATGACTATTTTGATCTGAAGTTAAATGAAGGGTGGTCTCTTATTTTGCATAGTATACTTCACTGAAGGAATGCAGCAGGTTCACACAAGCAGTTCCCATGTGATACCCAGCAAGTTTAAACAAGTCAAAATGGTCAAGCTAGCCTGCTCCTATGTAATATTGCTTCCTCTAGAGCATTGTGTATTTCAGTGCTCTAGTGTGGCGTTTTAGTTGATAGCATGTGAATAATTCTAGAAACATCCATTTCTTAGTGAATAAATGAACAGTAGTTTTCTGTCCAGTTGTTTCTTCAGAATTAGTTCAGCATTATAAAATTATAGACAACAGCTTTAATTACCATATTTGTACCAGCAACAAATCCTCCTTTGCTGATTTAGTTTTGCAGCTGTGTAAATCAAAAAAAAGACATTTCTGATCATTATTGCATGTATTTATTTGGACAATGTGTGTTTTTTATCCAGTGTGTGGGTGCAGCTGACTCCTCAGTGAGGCTGATGGAGGAGAGGCTGCAGCAGCTGAACAGACAGAGTGCAGCAGCAAGGGCGAAACTGCTGGAACTGATAGAGCAGCAGAAACAGACGACCTCCCTCAATGTCTCTCCCTCAATCTCTCCTATACCTCCACAATCCATCAGCCCTAACACAGGTGTGTTTTTCACAGCCAGCATCATTTTTGAACACCATCTTAACAACTATACAGCTGGTATGTAAGCCTGATGCGTTACACTTGAATCATTACTATGCATCAGGGTTGGATAATATTTATTTTTTACAGTTCTTGTAAATATTGCAGTGGTTTTCTTTATGACAAAAATAAATGACATTTCCGAAAATCGCACAGCCACATCCTGTGGTAAACTAAAACATTCCAAAGCCGATATGTTTTTCCATGCAGACGTTTTTCCACTGAATATTGTTGTATCCTTTGTATTATGAGCTTGTTAAGGAGCCAAATACGACTATTGCTGCATGCCAGCTAACACTACTGCACATTGAATTAACACTATACGACTGGGAACCTCAACAAAATCGCCCACACAAACCAGCAAGCTTTATCAAATGTGGTAGTTTAGAGGCCATGGCCACTTTAGGCTGCAGTTTGTGCTGCTGATGTTATATAATAGTGGTGCAAGTTAATAGACTTACTTTAATGGGCAAAAGTGTTGGCTTGCTTGTAGGTATTTTGACTGCTAAATGACCTTGTAATCAAAAGCATTTGGTGACATTGGGTGGAAAACTGTACACAGGATGGCAGGCATATTTTAAAATCCCATTCATTTTTGTCATAGAAAACTCCAGCTTGGGTCCAGAAACGTGCATGCAGTTAAGCAGCACATTTGCCATCTTTGCATAAAAGTAACATTGCTGGTTAAAATGTGGTAAGAATAAAATTGTAAAATTGCATAAGTCTACTGTCTGTATAAAATGACCATAATTAAATTTAAAAAAATTAACAAAGCATCACTATATGTATTTTAGTGGCAGCTACAGTTACCTTAAGACACCTTATATTATCAAAACAACCCTTTTCTCAGCCAGAAAATATGTATTTTACTCAGTTTTGTCATGAATATTAGCACTCTTAACAGAAAAGAAGTTGCAAAGCTACTACAGTTTGTATGTTCCTTGTCTTATATAAGCATGTAAGAAAGCCTGCTGATTAAGCCTTCTCTTTTGCAGATGCTGGAAGGCTGACTCAGGGATCATGTGTCTTTGTATCTGAGAGAGGTCATCCCTCTAACACAAACAGCAGAAGGTCAGCAGAAGCAGTTTCTCCACAAAGTGAAGAGGGAGGAGAAAGGCGTGTCATTAATACACAGGTACACATACAAGCATTTTATTGTATAATACTGTGGGTTAATGTCATGTCAGACTTTCCACCGTCTGACTTACCTCTCAGCTATGGCTACCAGGTGTGATCCATTCATGCGTTATGGAAATATACAAACTCTGGCAAAACAAACGTCCCAAATCCCAATGTCATGATGCCTTTAAATGTAAAAATACCCATCAGTGGCAGAAACACAGCAAAGTGTAAAAAGGTGCAAATGTTTTGGTCAGTGTTTTCTCTATGTAAGCAACAAAATACTCTGCCTTTCTCTTTTTCTTAGTAAAGGTCGACTTTTGTAAGGCAGGTGGAAAATTGCCTGCATCTCTTACATGGTAACCATGGTGACTGCAGCACTAGTACATTTAGCGTTCGCCCAGGATTGTATGTCTTTTATATTTGGGGGAGGAAACTCTTAAGTGCCAGGATGAGGAGCTGCTCTGTTTTTCCCTGTGCAAAAACAGTGATTTCATTTGGCTGAAACAAGTGTGGTCCTCGAGTCGCAAACCACAAAATTTGAAAACGTTTCAATTTGGAGGCAGGTGGTCATGAGCTTGTTTGAGGATGCACATGATGGCTTCTCAGTGACGCTAGAAGCTTACCAGTTTGTAGGAGAAACCTTGAGTCCTGCAGATCTAGGTCCCCAACAGTGCATTTTCTGCTCTAATTATTTCTAACGAAAGAACAAAAATGTTATGACTATGGTGATGTTTGTGGTTTACACAGGTGGATAAACTGAAAGGAGAAGGCTGGTTTGCACTGTCTGCTCATATCCGCTAAAACCATTCCTGCAAACAAGCAACAGGACTGATGGGACCAGCTGCTGCACCGTACCTGCGTTCTTTTACACTGTTTGTTTTTAATATTGTACATACTTTAATAAATTTTAAACAGTTTAATTGTGAGTTGATTTATTGTGACAGTATAAATATAAAAAAGAGCACCACATCCTTAATGAAAACATTCAACGAATTCCAGACAGGTTCAAAATCTATATTGTGTTATATTGTACTGTATTTCATAACACTGTAGAAGTGATGTTGACACAATTCATACAACAAAAACAATGCATTCAGAGGAATGTTTTTGCATATTTCCCACAATGGCCTGCACCACAGTTACCTGCATTTCAAATGGCTCCAGTTTTTAGCTTTACCCTTTTCAGCCACTGTTTAGCTTTTGCCTGTCCTAAACGGACATGAAATTAGTGCTGTTCTGAATTGAAAACTCTCATAAGAAACTGAAATTCAGGATATTTAATTTTAATTAATTATTTGCCTTTTTATTTCATTGCATAAATTGTATTTATTTTGCATTCTGATTTTGCTTTTGAATGAAAACTGAAAAACTACAAGCTAATGGGAGAAAAAAAGGAAAGGACGTGTCCTTTTAGTTGGACATTAGAGTTACAGTGTTTGGTCTACAGTGAGTTGCTGGGGCTTTTTGTGCAGAAGAGCCAAAGAAACAGATAGTAGTGGGCAGTATACCAGTTTATCCTTCCAAATTCCACCAGAATATGACAGCTGGTGGCACGAATGTATGGGACACTTTTATGAGACAAATGACCTTTTCTTTGGAAAAAAAAAAAATTGACAAAGCTACTTTCAAATTCGTAAGAGTTGGTTTCTTATTAAAATTTCCTGTTCCACCTTAAATGGTGCAGCAGTTACATTGAGCTGCCTGTACGGTGCCAGAATGTAACTGCTGCTCCACTTAAGGTGGAATTGAAAATTAGAATATGTATGTAATATGACATTTTGACCAACATACAATTTTATTATAAATGTGATATACACCTTTCCAACCACCATTAAAACCAGCATATTTTTAGCTATTCTCTAGTTCTATTTATCAGTGTTACATGTTGACACTTAGTGATAGACTTATTCAGTTTTTAAACTGTGTAACTTATTTGGGCAAAATTATCAGCATTTTTACATTTTAACCTGAAAAATTTGGTGCATCCCTGCTTGAAAGTTGTCTTGCTTGACACAGTCGTAAAGTACTGTCTCAAAGCACCTCACAGCCTTTCTGTGCTTTGGCCCACAGCCTCCCTCCCCTGTAAATGAACTTGACCTCACACTCTGTCTCAAAGGTTGTGACCTTAAAGAGGCAGCCTTCGTCAAAGAGCTGGACGGAATGTCTCTGTGCCACAGTCTGCAGTTCCTCCCTCCATCCACTTCCTCCTTCTCTCATCCACATTTTATTTTCTTCCTCTGCCAAAATCTGCCCCCCTAGCCAGCGAATGGCACATTGGCCTTCCTCCCCCAGCCGTGAGGCGGAGAAACAGTGTGGCTCGCTAACCACGAAGTGTCCTTTCGCCTCCTCGTAGCCGAGGCAGCGGAGCCGCACGAGGAAGGAAGTTGCCTCAGAAGTTATGAAACGAAAGTTCTCCTCCACCCCATTGTCGATGGCAACCAGCCCCCTGGCGCTGCTGACTGAAAGCAGCCGCGGCTGCCCAAGCATTTGACCAGATTGTAGGTCAAACCGGAAGCTGTGGTGCTCTCCTGGCTGAAGGTAGTGCAGAAAGTCCGGCAGGGTCTCCTGGTGCAGCTGCATCAGGGGGCCAAGGCTCAGCTGTGCAGGATTAAATTCTATAAGAGCCAGTAACCGGTGCCGAATTCCAGCATCGAAGGCTTGAGAGTTGAAAGCTGGCCTTGAAAGCATGAGGCAGATGTGCTGGGTGACTTCAGCAATGGGAGCATCTGTAAGCTCACTAATGCCCCTTTCTGGCTGTACTGTATGCAGCAATTGTGCAACCTGAAGACACAAATCCCTGTATTGTTGCACTCGAGGCATCAAATCTTGGTGCACTGAGGCAGGAATGACACTGTTCAGGGCTTTCCGGATGGCTCTGGCAGAAATGCCCTGGAAAGAAGTGACCCTGTGGATCCTGCTTGGTCTGCAGGTGTACAGTCCATCCACAGGTCCTGAAAGCTTGAGGTGATTCTGAAGAGGGTGCAAGTCCCTCAAAATCTGGGCCAGAACCCTGATGCTCTGCAGTAGGTTCTCAGCTCCTCCCTCCTCCCAGCACTGCTCTAGCTCCTTCAGTAGAACGGCCTCCACCCTCTCACAGCCCTGCAGACGCTGCAGCACTCCAGCTAGGCTGCCTCCTAGGGGTAGACAACAGAAGTAGGCAACATAGTTTACATTATCAGGGTAAATTACAATATGATTTACTGAGTATGTCACGGTTACTGTTAGTAGTTCTGCGTATGTCGGCAGAGTTACACTAATTATAGAAATCATGTAAACAATAATAACCAGTGCTTTAAACTCCATAGTAAACAGTAACTGGTTAGATGACTGGTTATTAATGAATTTTTTATTAATACATTTTTACCAATTTTTATTTTTTGTACAACTGTACTACTGTTTTGCTGCTATGGACAAAAGTCTTGGGACACCTACTCATTACACCCACAGGATCTTTCATGACATCCCATTCTAAATCCATAGGCATTAATATGGAGTTGGTTCCCCTTTTTGCAGCTGTAACAGCTTCCACTCTTCTGGGAAGCTTTCTACAAGATTTTGGAGAGTGTCTGTGGGAATTTTGCCCATTCATCCAGAAAAGCATTTGTGAGGTCACACTGATGTTGGACAAGAGGGCCTGGCTTGCAATCTCTGTTCTAGTTCTTCCCAAAGATGTTTGGGGTTGAGGGCAGGGTTCTGGTCAAGCTCCTCCAGACCAAACTCACCCAGCCATGCCTTTATGGACCTTGAACAGAAAAGGCTCTTCCCCAAACTGTTCCCACAAACTTGGAAGCATACAATTGTCCAAAATGTCTTGGTATGTTGAAGCATTAAGATTTCCCTTCACTAGAACTAAGGGGTCTAGGCCAACCCCTGAAAAACAACCCCAGAGCATTATCCTTCCTCCACCAAACTTTACAGTTGGCACAATGCAGTCAGGCAGGTAGCGTTCTCCTGGCGTTCACCAAACCCTCGTCCACTCAGCCTTAACTGGTTTTATTTGAAAATATATGTATACTGTTCTATATACTAAAATTGTCAGATATTTTAATTATACTATGATATATTTTTTTGGACCTACCACCTGCCACTGTCTTCAAGTATTGTGATATTTTTGCTGTATCACCCACCTTTGCTCCTGCTACTGGGCTTCAGCTCCGGTTCCTCCAAAGCCTCAGCCAGGCAGTCCCACAGTAGGAAGCTGAAGACGGCCCACACCCTGCACTGCTCCCCGCAGTCCCTGACATGCAGCTGGTCCGGGCCATGCAGGTGCTCTTGATCATGCAAGTGGTCCCAGGTGTGTGGGTGGCTGTGGCTGCCACTGCGGAGGACAGCTTCAGCCTCCTGGAGCAGCTTCAGGGACAAGCAGCCCCTCTCAGAGAGCTGCAGCCCTGCAGATCATCATAAATAAGTGATGCAGTGTGCCGCTATGTTGATAATCAATCATGAGTTCTTACAACAATTCAGATGCAAGTGAAATAAGTGCATTTTAAACAAATAATATTTGAATATCACAACAAGAAAAATATTTCATATTGTCATGAATAAAAAAACATAAAAGGTTTAACAATCATTAGCATAAGAGGTGATCTGAACCTGAACGTTCAGCAGATTTAGTGATTTTGTTTTTGTGTTTTTGGCTTATGTAATTTAAGAGTAGCTAATAAATCAGTTAATGAAGAGAACAATAACTTGATAACTCAAGTTGTGTACATGTACACTGTACACATTTTTCATCTTTCTGTTGGAAATATTTTCGTGTATAGTGCTACTCAGATGTGGTTATTTTGCATAATACTAAACACTACTACTATGCGCATCTCTGTCACATGCTCATTAAAAATACACCAGTAAAAATCAATCAATTAATCATCAAGAAATACATGGATATCCACGTATTTAGCAACCACGTCCATGGTTGCACTACACCTGCAACTAGTTTCTGTATAAGAATTAAAGGGACATTCCAACCTAAAACTAGCTCTTAGCATGTTATTTGTAGGGCTGCAACAAGTAATCGAAAAAGCCTTTTGTATAAACAATACTTTACCCATTTTTATGAAACCACGCAAGGGCTGTTTTATTAAAAAACATAAATATTATGAAAGTAAATTGATTTCAGCAATCATGGACAAAACAAAAGCGAATTAACAATAAATAAAAATAAGATTTTTCATTTAGTCATAAAAGTGTATTCAATACAATATAATAGTTGCAGTCCCAGTCATTTGTCATGTGATATTCTGATATTCTGTAGTGCAGCATTGCATCCCTCAGCCTCATCAGTTTGACAGAAATCACTATTCTGTATCCTTATCGTGATTTTGCTCATCAGTGTTTTCTTACCACAGGGGTGCCCAATCCTGGTCCTGGAGATCTACCACCCTGTAGAGTTCAGATCCAACGTATTTGGCTCTAATATTCAAATACTTCTAAAGGCCTTCATTACTTGGATCATGTGTTTTTGATTTGGTTTGGGGCTAAACTGCGCAGGTAGGTAGATCTCCAGGACCAGCATTGGGCACCCCTGTCTCACTAGAACACTCAGCATGCATTGCTGTGATAAAGAAATCCAGACTGCTAGTGTAGCTACTGATGAAGAGGCTGATACATACAGACAGGATTTTCAGCTTCCAAGCAGTAACATTAGCTTACTGGTCTGCATTAGCAAGCTATCTAAAACACTTCAAACAGCCCACCCTCAGGTATCCACCACAGTGCTTGGTGGTTTTCAAAGGTTCCTCCCACCTATAAGATACATAATCAGAAGGGGGTTTCCTCGTCTTTACACCAGCACCTCTCTAGAAAACGAGTGGGCATGTTCGCAACACATGAACCAGTGGCTACATTTTGGCCTTTAGCTCAGTCCCAAATTGCTAAACTGCAAGTCACATGGTGATTCTAACCATTGCAAATCCTTATTTAGTCTCGGGTTCGGCTTCAGGGTCTGGAAAACTGACCCATAGTACTGAGGCTGTCCACCTACTTTGAATGCCCAGTTCTGCCACTCTGCTGAGGAGCCGATCAGCATCCTGGGTCTTCTCCATGAAGAGGGACACCACAGCCTCCAGCTGAGACGCGTCCTCTATGCTAACTCCCTCCAGAAGACACTCTCTGACCGTCCGGCGTGGCAGCCCCACTGCCACCCCCAGCTCACACATGTTTAGCCTGGCTTCATCTCCCACAGCTACTCCCAGCTGAGCCTTGACCTGCCGCAGTACTCCTGAGACCAACAGCGAAAATGACCAATCCAGCATGAGACTTCATCATCCAGCAAAATCACAATGACAAACTGAAAGCACACTGACAGCCTGTTTATTACTAGAGCTGTACTGATCTCTGGACCCACTGGTAGATGCTGATGAGTACAGATGGAGTTACCTGAGTAAGGCAGGTGTCCTGCTGTGTCTCTGGTCTCCTCCACTGCTATGGCAACACTGCTGGCCTCAGAATCACAGTTTAGCGACAGAGCTGGTAGATCCTCCACCAAACTAGTAACTGATAAAACAGAATGCTAAATACGTCTCTTGTCACTGGCATACCAAAACCTTGTGCCCCCCAGCCTGTTTTTTTTATGCTATGAAAATGGAAGCCCTTTTATAGTGAGTGTATTCCATGATGAATGGACCAGCAGAATGATTAGAAAAAATGCAATTAAAAGTCATTACATTGATGTACATCAAATTAATTATGGTTTTTCCTTCTACTATAAAGTTACAAATTTGTAGATAAAAGGTAAAAATGAGAGCGCAGACATAAAGTGCTGACTTGGTTATGTGTTCAATCCTAACCCAAGGAAAAGGAAGAGAAAAGGAAGGGAATGGAAGTATATCACAAATTTATGATCTGTAAATTACGATTTGTATTGTAATAGTAGTAGGCATGCATGATTGTGAGCTAGCTGTATTTGATTTGGTCATTTGTACTGGTTTATAAATGCACAATGACCTAAATTTTTGAAGTGTATTCAAGTGTCACTTTTTCAGTTTTCAATTTCTGCCATAATTCAGACATTGAGATGTAAACAGTAATTCTAAGTGGTTTAATGTGACGTGGTTCATAGAGAAACTTATCAATTCAGATTTCTTTACAAAGCTGGTGATAGGAACCAGGTAGAGGTGGGCAATATGACAATATTTTATTGTTATCGTGATAAATATTGGTATCATGATCAACAGTACATTTTTCTACGCAAAACGTGGACATCATCTGTATTTAAGATGTACTGAAAATACTGCATGTTTTTAAAGCAGTGAAATATTCATTATATCCACAGCTTTTGATGACAGTTTTAAAATGCAGCACTCTGGGTGCATTTTGTCTGTGTCAAACTATGGTGATATGATATTTTTACCATCTGGAAAAAAGATTTACCACTATTTCTTTTTTGCCTTACAACACACTACATACACTTACTTTTTATGAATTTATACAATGCTAGTCTGGAAAATATACATATAATAATTTTCTTTAAGTTTTCTTTTAAAGGCATTAAACACTTGGGATAGCTGGTACCATTTCAGTAGAATGGCACATTTTGCATCAAACCACTCTGAATGACTATTTTTATATTTATTTTGGAAAAATCTGTGAAATTCCCCTTTAAAGTGCATTGAGGTCTCCAAAGCATGCTGGACTGGAACGCTAGAACTGATGACCAGTACTTATTTCTATGTATTATAATAAAACTATTTAAACTTGCCCATGGAATGATTCATTGTGTTTACATCAGAATGGCAATTTGCAAGAGCTGCAATTTTTATTATATCCTACATGATTCAACACTGACCGAACAACAGAAAATGTAAACTAATTCAGCCTTTAAATGTTTAACCAAAGCCTCCAGTCCAAAAAAAAATATTGTTCTGGTCTTTTTGGCAAAAAAAGGCCTACAGCTTCATTTATATTAAATAATCACGTTAATATTGCAATAGCAATCTTAGTAATTCTTACCGTTCATATCCTCAGCTAGCTGCTGGTCTTCGTTGTAAAGAGCTTCATAGAAGCTTTTGCATGCATTCTCTCCTTTAGACAGGCAGATGGTCAGCAGGGTTTGGGTCTGTTGGGTGGGGGTGGGTGCTGCCTGGATCCGCTCGAGGTCAAACTGGGTCAAGGTGCTGCTGGAGAAGAGGGCCAGAGAGATGGGCAGCACAGAGGAGCTCATACGGCCACACAGAGAATAAAGGTGGGCCTGTAACTGCCGCTCTGAAAGTAGGGAGAAATGCTAACAGTGAGAAATTCAACCAAACAAGCACTTTTCCAATGTAAGAACTAATATAGAGTGACCAACCTGTAGGTCCACTCGGGATCTCTGTGAAGTAACGGAAAAACACTGTTAGTGGAAATAATGGTTGACTTGGAACACAGAGGTAGGAGTATCTACAATGTATCATATTGTATAGTTGTACTGTGACTAGTATATTAGCCTGTGGCTATTTGGCCAAAATATCTAATTCTGATTTGTCTGATTGTGACCAATATTGTGACTGCAATTTAAATTGCAATTATTTTCTATGAATTGCGTCGGCTTCTTTGGCTTGAGGCTTGAATGCTAAATGTAGTGCGCTGGACTGTGCTTTTCTAAGTAAAAGGATGAGTATGGTCAGTACTTCCAGAATGCTGGACGACTTCACGCATTACAAAAAGGACAACAACCAGTGTATATTAACTGTACAAACTGCGAAGTAATAGGTAGTCGAGTTAAGGCCATCTCATTACATCAGTATCTGTTTTATTACTGTTTTATTACTTTCACCAATTGTTTTCTTTTTCTTAGTTTATTTTTGCTAAATTTGTAATGATAGTAACTGTACCAATAGCCTTTTTTAATTGTAGCACTACCATTTTGCTTGCTTGATATATATCATGTATTCACGTAGGATGTCATATGTTTGCCATATTGACCACCAATACATGGAAGTATTGAAATCTATCATACAGTACCTGTTTCAGCAGATAGCCAGGTGCGCAGACGTGGGTAGTGCTGCTTGCATTCTCTCAGACACTCCAGAAAGCGAGTGGCCTCACTTTCGTCCATCTGAGCCTGGACAATCTCGAGCAGTCTGCGGGCACGGTTTTGCGGGGTCTTTTCGGCTTTTATCTCGTGGTAGTTATCCTGAGACAGAAGACTAGCAGACAGGACGGAGTCCAGGAGCGGGGCCAGATTGTATAAAGATGCCACCAAGAGCTTCTGTGACGCCAACAGACGAGCCTTCACTGTCTGCCTTATGTCTGACCCTGGTGCTGGATATCAGGCAAGTGTCAAATGAAATAAGTATGAACAGTCAATGGAAGCTGGCTGGGTGCTTACCTCACATTATACACCAGTCTTAACCATGAAAGGCCGGTGCGGCTGCAGGTTTTCATTCCAAACAAGCAGGAGCTCACCTGATTCTTCTTGCTTAATCAGTTGGTCTCAGTCTTCAAACAATGAATTATATGTGCTCCTGCTTGGTTGGAATGAAATCCCACAGCCACACTGACCTTTCACTGACTGAAACATCAGAAATAGCAGAAGTATCAAAATAATATGTAGTTGTTCATATTTGCTCAGAAGTGACCACAAGTGCACCCACCAAAATCATGAGACATCTGTGGTGAGGATGCCATCACTGGACCTTGTGGACATCTGCAGCTCAGCTTCAAAGGAATAGCAAATTTATGGCTTGTTCATTATTTCAAGTGCAAAATTGAAGGTGGAGGTGGACAGCATTTACATTCATTGTCCATTTTATCAGCTCCATCTACTATATAGGAGCACTTTGTAGTTCTACAGTTACAGACTGTAGTCCATCTGTTTCTCTGCATACTTTATTAGCCCCTTTTACTCTGTTCTTCAGTGGTCAGGACCCCCACAGGACCACCACAGATCAGGTATTATTTGGGTGGTGGATCATTCTCAGCACTGCAGTGACACTGACGTGGCGGTGGTGTGTTAGTGTGTGTTGCGCTGGTACGAGTGGATCACACACAGCAGTGCTGCTGGAGTTTTTAAACACTGTGCCCACTCACTGTCCACTCTATTAGACAGTCCTACCTTGTTGGTTCACCTTGTAGATGTAAAGTCAGAGACGATAGCTCATCTGCTGCTGCACAATTGTGTTGGTCATCCTCTAGTCCTTCATCAGTGGTCACAGGACGCTGCCCACAGGATGTTGTTGGCTGGATGTTTTTGGTTGGTGGACTATTCTCAGTCGAGACAATGATGTGCAGCGCTGCTGTGTCTGATCCACTCAGACCAGCGCAACACACACTAACACAACACCACCACGTCAGTGTCACTGCAGTGCTGAGAATGATCCACCACCCAAATAGTACCTGCTCTGTGGTGGTCCTGTGGGTGTCCGGATCATTGAAGAACAGGGTAAAAGGGGGCTAACAGAGTGCACCTATATGGTAAGTGGAGCTGAGCAATATTTCTGCTTCTACTAAGTATATTTGTAAGGAAGGTAATCTATTTCCTTATGTTACACATTTATTATTATTATTCTGTTTGTTAGTTTAATTTCATTCTGTTCTGTTGGATCAGCAATAAAAGAGCCAACGACCCCCCCCCCACCCCCCCCCCACCCCCAACACACACACAAAATAAATAAATGAATAAAAAATACAGCTCCTGACAGATGCTGGATGAAGATCTACTGCAGTTTTACAGTCATTTTTACGTTTATTTGAGTCATTATTTCACTGAGGAAGCAACACTTACTTGAGTATGGCTTTAGTCTGCTCCACCCACGGCTGGAAAACACGAAGAAGGCATGAAAAGCGAGGCTCATTTGAAACTACAACGCACAAAACACCACTGAGAGAAAAGACCACAATAAGTGCACAAACGTGGCTAATTCAACTATCACACGATATTACGAATGTTACGTTGTATGACACTGAAATGTCTACCTGTAACTTACTGACGTTTCCATGAACGGACTTTCTATGTCCACTTCCTTGAAGTTGTAACCTGAAAGGAAAATCCTAAACGCAAGGCGACGAAGTTTGACCACGTCAAAAAACAGAATTACAAAACTGAAGCCCCTGTTTCTGACAGGACAGTTAACTAACAAGCCGGCTGAACCACATTCATACCTCTTTAACACAGCCAACGCAATCAGACCCAACTTTCAGTGCTGGTGACTACAATAGCAATAGACTACGTTTCCCAGAGTGCATTACGTTTCCTAGGGTTGCTAAGACGACAAGCCCAAACAAAACGGACTCCTCAGAGGAAATGAGTGAAGAAGTCGCTTCACAAGGTAAAATAGGTTAAAAGTAAATGTTTTACGTTTTGAAATGTCTTTTAAAATATGTGACAAATGATTTCTCAACATAGAGAGTTCGTATAGAAGCTTTGCCTTGCCCATTCTGTCAAAATATAGCTAAATTAACTTTGAAATGTGTAGCTTGCTAAATTATTGGTCCTGCTTGGTCCTCTAACTTAGTCGCCCCTTTTCATGGGTATGATTGCTTGTTATCCAGCAAGGATCTCCCTCTAGATCATATTTATTTACATCAGGCCAAATATTTATTTCTGGCTTTCCTGGATATGGGCCTTGCGTCTGTTAGGTAGCTACATAACTACAGAGGGTTGGGTGAAGACTGAACATCCATTACAATACATTAAAAAACATATTCAGAATACATTTAGAATACTGTAGCATCCTGCTAGTGGCTCACAGTGCCTACGAGAGGCTCGGGAGGCATGACCATGCAGAGGGCCATGTGAAGAGGTCAATGGAAGGTGCACAATCCCCATAAATAGGACGTTTAATGTTGATGTCAGTTAGTTTAAGTTGTGTATATGTGTTATTCTGTGTGTGTGTGTGTGTGTGGGGTGTTTGTTTTGTGTTGGGGGTTGGTCATGACAAGGTGAAAACCTATGGCTTGTGGTGACCTCCCCCATAAGTTCAGTTCTTTGGATGTGCTTTTCTGCTGGTGTTTTAATAAAAGAGCATTACACACAGCAGAAGTATGGCCTCTCCTGTGTCTCACTCTACAATGCCACACTGGTGTCAGAAGTGATATAGCGCTTCTTCAAAGCAAACGGCAAGAAAGAAACAACCTGGCGAAAGGCTCTGATAGCACGGACAGAGCTACAAGGCTCCACTGGGGAAAATAGCATGGTGAGACTCGATGACAGGGCCAACATGTAGAGGCTTCATGGTCGTGCCAGCAAATGGGAGGCCGGCAAAAGCAAAACCGTTCAAAGGTTCCTGTGCCGGCGGGCATCCCCACGCAGCCTTACTACGGCAGCTCTGCCATCAAGCCTCGCTGTGATGTCTTCCCCGTGGAGCCTACCAAAGCTGTCCCTGTAGACACATGCACGAGTCCAGTACAATACCGATGCTAAGCTTAATACTCATGAAGTTCTTTCATCTCTCCAAAAAATTAGTAGTGCTAAGATTAAATGATCATCACACTGGTTTATCAGTCTACTCAGACTTTAGTAGGAACTTCACATGCTGTGCGCTGGTTTTAAAGTAGTCAACAAACAAGCACTGATGTGTTTCTTCTAAAGATGGTCTGTAGTTTTAAATTTAGTGAGTAAGTATACTAAAGTATTCTACTATACATATTAAAAGTAACTGTATTCTGAATTCTGCCTTTACAAAATGGAATACTTAATATCTGTATTCTGAATACGTATTCCCGGTTGGGATGTATTGGCAGCTGTATGCCAATACATCCCAACCCTGTAACTGCATATTAATTTCTCATGGTCAGATAAGCATTCAACCTCAGAAGTTTCTTCTTTTTTTCATCCAGATGGTCCACTTGAAAAGCTGGATGCCCCAGACGAAGCAGGAGGTGGCCCTGCAGATCTAAGCTCTGAGGACCACACAGTTTCCACACCAGAGCCTGGTGAACAGACTGAGGCTGAGCAGCCACCTGCGAGTGAGATTAAAGGTGTGTTTTTACATTTCTTTTGCTTCAAGATCACTCAGTCAAACTCTCACTCAGTAAAGGCTCTTGCTAAAGCGCAGGTGTTAAAAAAGTCAGTTTGTGCCAATCTAAGTCTTCATCTACAGGTAGCCTTTCAAACTTGGACTTTTCCTGATTTCCTGTCTTTCTTTTAGATGCAGAACATGTTATTTCTGAAAACATTGAGGCAAAAGAAGGGAGCAGTGGAGAGGAAGAGAAGGAAAAGCAGAAGAGCAGAATTCCAGAAGATTTGTATTATGACTTTGAGGAGCTCTACTCCAGACCATTCACTACAGAAGGCTCCAGCATCCCTCAGAATCTGCTGCAACTTTCGTATCCTGCACCAAACAGCTGTGTTTCAAACTATGTGGATTTTTTAGTGTTGAAATTTGTGGGTAGAAAACTTCATCTTTAGTAAATGACATTATTCACATTTGACATATCTGATGTCTATCTAACAACAATGAGTTCCAGCTTTTGTAAGTTTATCTAGACCAGGGGTGTCAAGCTTAACCACTAAAGGGTCCATATTAAAAAAATCTCAACAAACCCGTGGGGCCAAACATTTTAAATTCATTTTTAATTAATGTTGTGCTGTAACCCAAACTGGCCATTGTTTATTCAAAATACACAAAAAACGTCAGCAGTAAAATGTAGATATTTGTAGTAAACCTTGAAATATTACATAAATACTTGAAATATTCAAAATTTAAATGTCCCCAGGAGCTCAGTCTTTAAACCTACCTATTTGCTTGAACTAGACACCGGATATCCTTTCTTTGCTGCATGTTCATTAAGACTTGGGCTCAGTTGGGCTAAGCTAACTTTAGGTGTTTATATTGGTTGAACTGCAGCTGAAATGCAGTTAGTGTAATTGGTGACATGACTGGTGTGGAATTGTGTAGAATTGTGTAGAATTAAGGTGTAACCACTGTCCCGTAGATTGTTGTTGGGGTAGGAGAGTCAGAGAGCACATTACGTTGCAGTGCATGCTGGGGACTGTAGTGCAGCGCATTGTGAAACGGGCTAATAATAATAGAAAATTAAAATACTTTTGCCAGATAGGATTGTGCTGTGGGCCTGATCTTCTGTTTGACACATAAGATCTAGACCAAGATCATATACAGAAATGGGGAAGGGGGACTGTAGTCATCGTCCTATGGCAATCAATGTCAATGTCAAATGAAACCTTTTTTTTTCCCAATTTTCTCCCCAATTTGGTCATATCCAGTTCCTCCCCACAAGCAAGGTACCCCCAGTCACACAACGACACCAGCGCTAGGAGGGTGAAGGCTAGCACAGGCTTCCTCTGAGCCCTGTGAAATCAGCCACTGAATCTATTAGAACTTTTGCAATGTCAATGGACAGCTAAACACGCTTGGAGGAGACCGCTAACCGCCAGTACTGTTATGTCAGCGATGGGGTGAGCAGGAGGGCCATCCTACCCACCCAGAGAGAGCGAAGCCTATTGTGCCCTCTTGGACTCCCGGCCACGGATGGCTGTAGCATCACTGGGGATTGAACTCAAGGTCAAATTAAACCTTATTATTTTATAACACAATAATTTATATGGCCATAACACGCTAAAGGTGAACTAATCTAAATGCTGTGGGAAAGAATGAACAATAAAACCTAAATTGTATTCATTTTAATCACAAAAAACTTTGAATTGCAAAAACCTCTGACTACTCATTCGGAAGGACCATCGTATCTTCACAGCCTCAGTCGTAACTGGCTGCTCCAGCGGTTCTCGAAACATTTTGGGTGCCGTTTTTGCCACATCACTGGTCTTATCTGTGGGTGTGATGGTAGTAAAATGTAAGACTACCTCACAGCAGTCCGAGCACAATACAAACAGGAAATATTCCATCATTCGACAACGTGGTGATGAGAACACTCCCTCACTGAAATCAACTGAAAAGCCATCAAAACTCATAAATCTTACCTACAGTAATGTTGATAATGTTGACTTTACTGAATAGAGAAAATAAGAATACAATGAAGATTTTTTTCAGTTTTTTTCAGTACAGTTAACAAAGTGATTGTCATAACTCTTAATATAAACAATAAAATAAAACTTACACTTGTCTGGTAATTTTAATTTAACTATACAGAAGTTCTCATCAGCTTTTTCCTTTATTTATGCACTTATATGCAGTAATATAATGTCAGACATTATGCACATATGCATAAATAAAACATATACGATAATATTAAATGTATCTTCTTACCATTGATTACACTAGGCTGAAGGCAGTGATCTGCCACGTGGGCTTCCTCACTCACCTCCCTTTTGCTGCCGTGCCACATTCCCTTAAGGTTTAGCCCAGGAGTTACTCTAACAGTATCTTAGAACATCATCTCCTTTTGAGAATGAGGCATGGGGAAGGTCAGTAGCCAGTCACAGAGTGGTCCTAGGTTACAAAGGTCATAGGGTTCTTACAACGACTGTTGTTAGTGACCTTGATGAAGCTTTGAGAATCTGGCCCCAGGTTAACAACAGTAATATAGTCTTTACAGTGCACTGCAGTTAAACCTGATCTAGTGCTAATTAAACCAAAGGACCAAAAGATGTACTGTAAAACAAATGAATCGACTCTGAAATGATGTAAACTCTCATTAAACATGATGAACATGCAAACTTTTCCCATTCCTCAAAATACAGTTAGGCTCCTTAACCACAGGCCAGGCATTCATTCGGATACGACTGCAGGCGGAGGGCTAACCTGCAGCTGCTGGACGAGCACACGCTGGCCTTCGTGGCTGGAAATGTGCTGGTCCTCCTGGACATTCGCACCAAAGAGCATCACTACATCCGCAGCTGCAGTGGAGGCGGCATAGGCACAATTATGGTACTCTCACACTGCCATTTGGGTTTAACAGCTGTTTAAGGATGGGACGGTTGCTGGTTTTAGTGATATACCATGGTACAAAACCCAATAAGAGGTTGACTACAAGGTATCAGAGTCCACCCTTCATTTAAATAATTCCCTGTCAAAATGCCCATTAAGTACAAGTTATTCATCAAGAAAAAAAGCATATATCTAACAGAAAGCTGCACGAGAAGCTTTCATTAAATATTTTAGTGTTAAATGTGTCCACCCTTTTTCTTTATCACAGCTTCCATTTTTTCAGGGCACTTCCTTTTGGTTTTTCAAAGAAATCTGCAGGGATATTTTTCCACACCTTCAGAGTTCAGTCTTAGAAGTTGGTTGCATTCTGACAATCCGCAAACTCCTAATTACAAATTCAGACTCATCTGTGCAGAAGACCTTACTCCACATCTCAGATGTCCAGTTTCGGTGTTTCAGTGCAAATGCTCTATTTTCTCAATTTTCTTTTCTCAGTAATGGTTTCCTGACAGCTTCACATCCTTTCAGACTCATAGTGCTGAGTTGTCTTCTCACAGTAGAAGTTTGGACAGAATCACCTATGGATGTTTTCAGATCAGAAGCAAGAGTGGAGCTTGATTTTCTCCTCTCTCTCAAAAATAAAAGCTTTAAGTACTGTTTACCTGATGGGGACAGTTTTTGTGGTCTACCAGGTCTTGCACAGTTGTTAATATGCCTGTTTTCTCCATGTCTTTACAAACTATTGTTTTTTTCCTGCTTATTTTATTTGACTTTCCCCATCCTCTTGCTCTTATGCAAATGGCTTATCTTATATCTGATCTCCTCAGAAATATCACCTGAAAAAAGATTAAGTTGTACTTAATGGCTGTTTTGAATAGTAATTAAATAAATAAAGGTGGTCTCTGACTTTTGCAAAGTGTAAATGGCGTAATGATTTCAATGTGTTTTAAAAAAATCAGTATAGTTATTGAATACTGCAGCAATTTTTAAAACTGTGATCTTTTTGGTCACTGATATTATACTGTCCGCTGCCTAGGGCAGCTGGGATGTAGCGAGTAGTTTGTAAAAGAATAACAATAATATAAAGACTCCCCAGTATCACAACCTACATTATCACAGTAGTGTCTTTTGTGTTGAAGTGACTGGTGCAGTTCTCTCAGACTGATACAGATATAAGACATAGTGTGTTTCTCTTTCTTTCTGTGTCTGAAGCCTCATCCCAGCAGGAGGTACGTTGCTGTGGCGGAGAAAGGCGAGCAGCCCAGTATCATTATTTATGAATACCCTTCACTGCGCCCCTACAGGATCCTCAGAGGTACTGCAGAACCACACTGTGTGTTTTATTCTGAGATGAGGACACGTTAGACCAGGGGTCGGCAACATGCGGCTCTTTTACTGCCCTGTTGCGGCTCCACAGCAGAATTCGATTTTTAGGTAAAAATAAAATAATCCTCCTTTGCATTCTCGCCTAGCTAGTAGCTAACGAAACGGCAAAGAGAGAGATTTAAGACGAACATCGATAATTTGGAGCTGAACAGACTTATTTGCGTTTATAATCACTCCAGCTGGTTTCCTGATACATTTAATCTGCAGTGAGAAACTGTAAAACACTAAAAACTTGCGACGCTGAAGTCAGATTCTCGTTCATTAGCTTCTTGTTTGAATTTTCCTGTTTCATCTTAAATGGTGCAGCAGTTACATTCATTTGAGGCAGAACGGGGAAAATTTGAAGTGAGTCCGAGTCAAGACTCAGACCAGATTTTCATATAAAAATTAAAAGAAATAAAGGGAGGAAACTGAAACTTGTTTGTAGTTCATTGTAAATTGATTATGCATGATATATTAATAAATAATAATGTATATTATAATACTGTATATTTTGAAAAAAAAATCTAGCCTAAAATTAGTATATTATAGTCTTTGTGAAATTTTGCATTGTAACTTTTAGAAGCAAATGATGAGGTAATCATTTTTATTGTTAAATAAAAACATAATAACATTCTGATCTGCCCTCAAAGGATCAACAAATAATACCCAGTTAATCCATCGCAGAAGGAATCAATTAGATCCTCAACTGACAGCGAACAGATTTTATTTAAACTTAAGAAAGGACTCTTTTATTCTGTTTTATTATTGATATTTAATCCAGTAACCTCAGACGGAGGCCTTGCACTTGGCTGGTCTCCTTGCCCAGAAACCCTACCAAGAAACCGAGACAAGACCAAGCCAAATGATGTCCAGACCAAGACAAGACTAAAGCACTAGGACATTAATTTAATATAATTAAATATCTGCACTGTCAATAAAGGTGGCATAAAATAGTTTTTGTGTGATGCCTCCACTTTTACTTCCCTAAAAACCCTTTCAGTGGATGCTTCTTTAAAACATTTCTCTTTTTATGTGCTTTTATTTGAGCTCTGAGACTTCCACTTTGTTCCTACTGCATTTGACTTTGATATGCTAATTTTGATAACACTTCCTTTGTCTTTAAGTTTGTTTTTATGTTTTTATTTTGCTTTTACATACTTTGTACTTCCCTTTAATTATCTGTTATTATTATTATGAATAATAATAATAATAATAATAATAATTCTTTTTATGCTATTGTAACTTTACTTTTTTTTTCACTCCTAAGCGCTTTTGAATTTTCCTTTTGATGTTGCTTTTGTATGAGATATGTGAGTGTTTAAAAACCTCCTCATAATGTGAATATTCTAGAAAGAACCTTTCCACAAAGTGAAGGTTCTTTAAACCTTTAAAAACTTCTTCACACTCGCAAATCTCTTTTTTTTTAAACATGATTCTTTACGGAAGTGTTTTTTTCTATGGCATCACTTAAAGAACCCTTTCTTATTGGTTTTATTTATGTATTTCTTCTCATAGTTAGGTCTCACTTGTATTATTGGATGCTCACTGTCATATATTTTGCTATATGTTACCCCACTGTAGGACCAGCTTTAGGTTATACTGTACACCAGTATAATAATAATAATAATGATAATAAGTATACTGATAATTCCCTTGAACTGAATTAAGGCCCAGTTTATGTTGCTGTAATGAACAGGTGGAACAGGTCGGGCGTACACTTTTGTGGATTTCAACCGTGAGGGCACCCTGCTGGCCAGTGTTGGCAGCGCCCCTGACTACATGCTGACCCTGTGGGACTGGAGGCAGGAACAAGTGATGCTGCGCTGCAAAGCATTTTCTCAGGACATCTACAGAGTGACTTTCTCTCCAGATAATCCAGGACAGCTCACCACCTCCGGCTCCGGACACATCAAGTATGTGTGGACAAATAGAGTAGCAAACTAAATCAGCACATATTGCTCATCTCAAAGGGTCAATATCACTGAGAACTGAATTTTTCTTGCGGTTTTTAACAACAGGAGTTTGATGATGTGTGTAAATATTGTTAAAGTTTCAAGACAAGACTATACAGTCTATATATGGAAACTAAGCTGTGAAAATAGCTTGTTTTTAATTTTATTTTGTGATGCCACACATTTATATATATATATATATATATATATATATATATATATCTGTCTATTCAGAATAAAGTACTTTAGTCCCACCCATTTATGCATAAAATATAAGGCGTGTTTCAGCTCATGCTGTTTTTTGAATAAGGCCCAAAACAACGGCCAGATATAACTGACCTAAACCAGTCTCAAAGGCGCAGTACCAAAAACAGACTGTTTAATTCTAAAGGATAACAAGAGATTGGAAGTGGTTATGTACAAATCCATAACTAGTGTTTTTGGTACATAAACTTCATAATTGATGATTGAGTAAAAATAAAAGTGTAGGATATGGACCCTTTAAATAGACTGGGTGGTCTCTGACACTGCATGACATTCTGATATCTATAAAAATGCACAAAGCCTTAATTGTATCCATACAATTTTGTCCATTTGTGTAGACAACAGAATGTCAGATGGTGTCAGAAAGCACATTATGATGAAGATGTAGGCATGCAGTTTACACACGGCTAATTGTGGGGTATAGGATTCTATTATGTGTGAGCATCGCAGCTCCTCTGTAATACTAAAGAAGCAAATTTCAGACACCAAACAAATCCTGTCTTTTCCGTTTAAGGTTCTGGAAAATGGCAAACACTTTCACTGGTCTGAAGCTGCAAGGCATTCTAGGAAGGTTTGGAAAAACAGCTCTGACTGATATAGAGGGATATGTGGAGCTTCCTGATGGAAAGGTGTGTTTTTGCCTGCTGATGACATGCATGCACATACTCAGCATGTGTGATATATCCTCTCTCTCTGTGTTTCTCAGGTGGTCTCCGGTTCGGAGTGGGGGAATATGCTTCTGTGGGATGGAGGCTTGATAAAAGTGGAGATTTGTCGAAAAGAGGGACGGACTTGTCACAGTGGGGCCATCCAGCAGTTTGCACTGGACGAGGGAGAGCTGATGACCATAGGTACTGATGGAGCGGTCAGGGTGAGTTATCTTTATATATCAACCTCTGTTACACCCTGCATTCATCCAATTAGCAGGTAGACAAATTCACATGATTAAAGCTAAGAAGAAAACCCACCCTAATGCTGTGTATTGCATTACACTATGATGGTAATTATGACAGTAATTATGATGAATTACAATTTCAATGGAGCAGCGCCAGAAATTCTCCCACCACCAGCAGCAGTGGCAGCATACTGCAGCGGTCAGCACAACAAATGAACGTCAGAGAACTTGGACCCCTCAGACAACACTGCATTAAAAACCAGCATGTTTCTGTGTTGGATGTCACCACATGGGCTTAGACATACTTTCACAAACTGTTGTCTGTCATGTTATGGGGGGTATTAGTGCATAACTTGCACACCTGTGAACACAATTTGGAGCGACATATTCTGCTTTTGACGCTTTCTTTTTTAGGGACATCCATGCTTATTTCAGTATGACAATACCAAGCCACATTCTGCATGTGTTACAACAGTACTCGTAAACGAGAGTGTGGGGTTAGACTGGCCTGCCTGCAGTCCAGAACTGTCTTATTAGGCTGAAAATACAACCTCATATAAAACATTGTGTTACTGTTTTCAACTAATAACTGGTCAAGCAGAATTTACTTGTTACTGCTTCCTGTTTTTATCAGTGTATCACATTTCTCTGTTTCTTTCTCTGGTTTCAGTGCTGGGATTTCGAGAGCATTGATGCAGCAGACAGTGTGGATGACAGTGGGCTGTTTGAGATTGAGCCCATGAATGAGATGATAATTGGCCGCAGTGTGAGCCTGACCTCAATGGTCAAGAGCACCATCCCAGACACTACTATCTGGTACGCACAGGTGAGTGTGTATATGACTTTGTTTATGTGTTTATGACATTATTCTCTACAAAAAATGAAACCCAGTCATCCACAGATCACCAGCGCCTCAATATCACAAATCTGAATGGCTGAGCCATGTTTGACACCAATTTAATCAACCATATAGCTAAAAAGGGAGTTTTTGTCACTTAATTTATCATATTAAATGTTTTCTTTTGATTACTTTGGGCTGTTTTTTAAACAAAACATCAGGAAATCCAAATGTGACTGTAAATACAATGAACAAATAGGTACTTTTAGATGTTTATTCGCAGTATAACCACACGATTTCACCGCTTCAGACTAAATTTAGTTGTTGGACTTGAATGGGTTATTACTAAGATGAGTTGTTTATTGGATGCAGTTTTTTTTTTCATTAAACTTATAACTATTTTATTAAAGCAATAAGCAACTCAAGGCTGAATGCATGACCTCTTGGGGTTTAATGCTTCAATAACCAACAGATGATGAAAATGACTAATGAGTTACGGCATATCTGATGTTTTTATGCATTATGCCTCAGGATTCTAATGGAGGAATCTGGAAACTGGACCTCTCCTTCTCCAATATTGTGAGTTTCACCAGGCCTCATGTTCAGTCTATTCATGCATTCTGCAGTTATATTTTATTTCACTGTTGTGAGTGTATGTACGTGCATTTATTCACGTATGTATTGGTGTGTATCGCAGACGCAGGATCCGGAATGTCTTTTCTCATTCCATGCTGGAGCCATTGAGGGCATGGATGTGTCTGGTAGCAGTCACTTGATGGCCACCACTGCACTAGACCGTAAGCATACATGAACACATTGCCACATTCAGTAATAATTACCATCAGGACTGTTCAATGTTGTTGGATGGATCAGCGCTTTGTTATATTTGTTTTTTGCTTTTTTTTAAATCACAATTTTGTGTCATGGATTTGAGAAATTAGATTAAAACATCAAAAATATACAGTAAAGGACAAAACTTCAGAAGCAACATGAATTTATGTAAAAATAAATAATGAAAGAAGATTGCAACAAACAAAAAAATGGTCAGGGAGTGTTCGCAACAAAAAGCGTAAAGGAGCGTAAAGGAGCGTAAAGGTTCTCTATCATATTGTGTCAGGCACTCGGGGTTCAGGCTCTGCCTTCCTGCTGGCTCTGGTGGCCATCAGGAGCCTGGGGGGGTGGGGGGGCAGGGGGGCGGTGTTCTGATAGGATGATGGTCTATCACTGCAAATTATTTTCTGGACAAGCTGGATGTGTGAGAATGTGTTGTTTGTTGGCAAATTATAAAATTATACATTGTACTATATTTTTGAAACTTTACAAACCACAGTTTACTTCCATAAAAAATGGCCTATACTTTACGCTTTAATGTTGGAATTCTCTGGAAACAAATCAAGCTGTTTTTTCCCCAAAAAATTTAGATAGATAATATTAGAATATTTTGTTGTGCATATTGAGATTCACATTTTAGAGTTATTATTATTATTATTATTATTATTATAGTCTAATGTCAGTACATCCTGTCTCTGTCCAACAGGTTCTGTCAGGATTTTTGACTTCCTCTCAAAGAAAGAACTCACAGCCTGCCGCTACAAACAGGGGGGGACCTCCCTCACCTGGGCCCCCTGCATGGTGCGTACATTTCTATAATTATACCCCCAAACGTGTCTTTTATCTCATGTGAAAATCAAGTGGTCATATATATTCCCATATATATTCCCATATATACGCACAGGTAGATATACTTATCATATTTACTAAATCTTAAGAAAATAATTAGAGAGAATATTTGAGAACATCTAAACTTTTTTTTGAGAATTGCATGTAAGAACATTCTTATGAACTTCTTAGTGTTTGTTTTAAGAACCTTTGCAAGTTTTTACTTAAGAAAGCTTTTGTGAATCCAGCCCGATTCTCTTCTGTTAACTACATCAGCTGGTCCCTCGGCACTGACGATGTTCAAATTTGTTTGGTTACAAATTTTAAATTTTACTTTATTTACACCTTGCCAAAGTAAAAGACACACAGACTGTTGATGTGTGCATTGTGAAAGGAGTAATTGTTCCTAGGCTGTCAAGACAGTGACAGCAGAATATTCTCGCTCTGCATGTGGGTAAAACTGTACAGACTCAAGTCCAAAACTTTGGAGCTGACTCTCGCTTCCCAAATGTCTGGAATCAGAGTGTGGGATCTTTGGATCGGCTCCTAGCCCTTATATGCCTATTTAGGTTGTATGTTCTGATATTGGTAATTCCCCTGTGTGTAATTTATACAGCATGTATGCAGAACCACTTTATTGTCTGTATATTGGTTTTCATAAGGTATGAACACAGTGTTCTGTATACTGTGCACTTCTCTCTCTCTATAGGTGAGCAGCAATGAGGGTTTGGTGGTGGTGGGTTTTGATGATGGTGTTGTGCGTCTGTTGGAGTTGTTTAACCCTCACAGCCTCCGAGCGGTCGCTGGGCGCAGTCGCTCTGGAGAGGCTGAGCTCCGCCTCAAACAGGCCTTCAAACCTCACAATGCACCTGTGACTGCCATCTCCTATGAGCGCAAAGGGGCCATCATGGCTACTGGGGTAGGAGCTTTGTTAGAGTGTGTTTGTGTGTCTCAAAAATCTGTGCTGACATAAATTTTATATACAGGCAGTTTTTTTTACTAGACCAATACTACATCATTAATGTGCTGACATATGTTTGTATGTATTTCTCTGTTTATTTGCAGAGCGTGGACTGCACAGTGTTTTTCTTTGTGGTAGGGGAGCAATATGAGCCTGTAGGCTTTGTGACCGTCCCAGGACCAGTGCAGGTCCTCCAGTGGGCTCCTCAGTCACATGTGAGTGAAAACCTCGCAATATGCAATGTTGTGCAAAAGTCATACCACACTTCATTTATTTAATTTCCAGTTAAAATGGCAGTTAAGTGCAAGTTATTAATTTGTCAGGAGATATTTCTTAGGAGATTTGATATAAACATGTGTAGCTGCCAAGAAGCCATTACTGAGAAAAGCAAATAGACCAAAAGAAAATTTCAAGATCAAACGAAGAAGCTGCTGATGCTTTCAGAACAATGGACAGACCACCCCAGAGTCCAGACCTCAACATCATCAAATGTGTCTGAGATTACTTGGATTGTGAGAAGCAGAAAGTGTGGAAAATATCCCTGCAGATTTCTTTAAAAACTGAAAGCAAGTCTCCTGAAATGAATAGAAGCTGTAATAAAAGTGTAGTTTTCTGTGGAATCTTCTGTTAAATATGCAGTCTTGTGCAAATTTTAAGACACCTGAGAAAAATTTAAATGCAAAAATTAATTATCTGGATAGTAAGTATTAGAAAAATACTAATATTAAGTGATGTGTTTGTCTAATCATTTCTCTCATTGTGGCAGAACACTATTATTTGTAGTTATCATCCATCACCTGTTTTGGCTAAGCAAAACTTCATTAAGTTAAATCAGGTGTGCTTGTAATGGATTTTAACAAATCTGATTGATGGCTGAGACGTTAAGGAGACGTCTGGAGCCAAACTTTATTCTTCAAACTAGCTCACAAGATATCAGCTACTTTTTTAAAGTATGGATTTGTTACTTCGTTTTACTGTATTTATGTTAATTAGCATTTATTATAATGATATACAGTGATTTTAGAAGAAAAATCATACCTCCTGCCCAAATAAATGGCTTTCAATAATGTGTTTTCTGCTATTTTCCCTGATGCAGAAAGATGAATATCTTGTACATTATGGATGTTTTGACTGGAAATCAAATAAATGAAGACCCATGCAAAGTTTTGTATGTGTATGAAGTAATATGTCTTTTTTGTTTTATTTTATGTATTTTATCAGCTTTTTTATCAATATATATACAGTAGTCAGACGTCCCACTGCAAAGTGCCCTGGATTTCTGGTGAGTGCTTATGTGTTTGTGTCTTTAAAGGAGAGAAACACACTGTTGGTGGCGTGTCAGACTGGCCATGTAGTGGAAATTGAGGCTCCTGGCCCAGATGTTCAGAATGATGGCAGCACATACCAACTCCAGAACCTTCCCATCAGACACTTCTGCTTCAGCAGCATCAAATCACGCATCAAGGTGAGCTGCCAGTTGAAGAACACTGCATCTTAAATAATCAAAACATACCAGTAATATCAGTAAAGTTAGCACTGGAACACATTCTGATAAAGCTTCTTTTGTCCACTCAGGTAGCTATAACTAAGAGCACTGCTGTTAAAATGGACAAATAAGACAAATGTGATTAAACACGATTGACTACACAAAATAATGTGATTAGTTATTAGAATTGTTTGACAGCCCTTATATATATTTTACATATATGTAATTGCAAATGTGTGTGTTCTCACACAGAGGGATGCAGAGATGGCGCGCAGGCAGGCTGTGAAGGAGAAGAAAAAGCAGGAGCGAGAGGAGAGATTACGGAAAGTGAAGGAGCAGGGACGAGAGCCCACAGAAGAGGAGCTGCACGAGGGAGAGGACGGAGAGGAGGAGGAAGAGTTGCCGCCACTGTACATCCCTAACCCCCCCAGTCCTCTGCACTGTGCCTTTTACTCACAACCTGGAGCCTTCTGGCTTTCTATGGTACACACACACTTTTAAATCCTTTTATTCTGCTTCCACAAAGACGGTTTAATCAAATGAGCCCAAATATATCTAAAAAGAGTTCAACACATAAACACACTCTCTCTCTCTCTCTCTCTCTCGCTCTCTCTCAGGGGGGCTATGACTCAGGTTATCTGTATCACTGTAAGTTTGCGGAGCAGCAGTCTGTGGATGTTTTAGAGCGGAGAGATGAGCCGTTCTCCTTTATCCCTGTGCAGGACACCGAACACAACCCCATCCTCACTATCTGCTTTAGGTAAAGCACACCTGTATTGACTTTATTTGTTAAAAACTTTTTTACTAACTTGTGCCCAAAATACTTTAAATATTGAAAACAACTGATACATTTTGGTGTCTAGTTTATCATCAGTTTACAGTCATTACAGTCATTATTGTGCATAAAATAACTTTTCTCACATTACTAGTCATTTTAATTTTTAAAGCTGTAAGTGATTGCAGTAGTAATATATATATATATATATATATATATATATATATATATATATGTATGTATATATTAGGGCTGAAAAATTAATCACTTTTATATGGAAATCGCAATTTAAGAGAGTGCAATTTTCAAACTGCAAGAGCAGCATTTTTTATGGCCCATTAATTATGGCGTACATTATCAAAAAACGTCTTAAATTTTACATTTAAATTTAACCTAGTATCACAGATTTGTGAACTTCCTGTAGATAAGGTAGACCAATCAGAGGCAACCAAACCTCCGTGTGTTGTGACATCACAACCACAACTTACTGGCAGTCTAGCGTACTACATTCAGGAGTGAAACCTCAAGCCAGCAAAGGTCGATGTTCTTGTCTTCTTGGCAGAAAAGGCCTGAATCGTGATTTAAATCACATTCGCAATATTAGTAAAAAAATCGCAATTACATATTTTCCCCAAATCATTCAGCCCTTATGTATATATATATATATATATATATATACATGTGTGTGTATGTGTGCATGTCTGTAAGTCTATGTGTGTATGTATCCTGTAGGGGGGTTATATATGCATATTTTCAGATTTAATATGATTTTAAATTTAGGGTCAAGGTCTAATTATGTACTGTACAGATTGGTTTGGCCGTGCCAAATCTCAAACCTTAGAATTTATTTAGTAAACTTTAGTGAAAAGATCAGTCATTTGAGCATAGGTGCATATCCTGAGCCTTTACTCTGATAGGCTGCACACAGGTGCCTAGTTTTGATCATAGTCATTGGTTTCTCTGCGAGGGGCTAATAAGTAACACAGCTATAAATTACAATATTTGATTATTCATCACTTAAAATTTTTCAGTATTCAAACTGTTACACCCTTCTTATCCTCCACCTTCCTGTCCCTTAGTGCGGAGAGGCAGCTGCTCCTGTGTGGGATGCAGGACGGCAGTATGCGAGCATTTCTTCTGGAAGCAGGTGAGTTGCCCCCGGGCTCCATGCGGGCATACTGGGCCTTTAGTGTCCACGATAATCAGTATGGCAGCATCCGCCAGCTTCGCTTCAGCCATGATAGCAGCTTTGTTCTGAGTGGCGGAGCGGATGGAAACATCTTCAGCTTCAGGCTGCTGGAGAAGGAGGAGCTGCAGAAACACCAGGCAAAAATACCCTCACCCCGCATTGGTTTGGAGGCAGAGCCAGCAGCCCCAGATATAGAGGACCCTGCTGCGTACAGGTGTGTGTGTGTAGTAAAACATCTGTGTGTCCAATTAAGGACAGCACAATTTTATAGGCAGCAGTACAGTTGTATACAAAAATTTCTCAGATTACATGTTTTGTTGTTTTTCTAAGAGAAAATAAATTAATACTTTCATCTTCAATACATATTTAGATAAATACATAAATACATATCATCACTGTCAGAGCAAAACCTCATAATATAAACTGTACAGGAGAAGGAAAAATTTATTTATTTATTTAAAATTTTATATAGGATTTATTAATATAAAAACGTATTTTTGGCCCATTTCTATTAGACTGAAGATTTAATACAGTGTAAAGGGCAGATGGTATCTTCACATAAATAAAAAGCAATACAGGACTTATATATAATTAATGCCTATGAGGCATGTGCTGTAAATAAATGTGTTTGCACAGTATCGAGACGGCTAAGCAGAAGCTAGAGCTGGAGCGCATGCAGAGGGAGGCCGAGTTGCGGAAGCAGGAGAAGCGTAAGAAGCTGTCAGAGTTACAGAGTCGATTCCAGACACTGTTGCAGCACAACCAGAGCCTCCCAGAACACGTCCGTCTGCAGCGCACGGTACATACACACTTATAGCCTCTCACCTCTCACACTGACGAGCAGCTCTCCCTCTAACAGTCACTTCTCACCCAGTTTGATTCTCACCGATATTCTGTGTAAAAACCTGACATGACCTGTGACCAAACGCCTAACATGTTCATTATTGTTGTTATGTTCTTAAAAATGCAAAAAAATAATAATATAGAATAATGATAGTAAATCAGAGAGTAAAACTTTCCTTCAAGGATGTTGAGCTGTTTGTGCGAACAAACAAATGAAGTGATTGGCCGAATGTGAGACTGGACGTGCATGTGCCTTTACTCTGATAAGATGTTGGCTGCTGTGTGATGAGGAGAGCAGTGAGCAAAAAAAGAATCATGGCTTTGTTCAGTCTTTTGGCCAGACTGAGTAACTGCTAACACTCAAAGTTGGCAAAGTCATCACATTTACTCTGATTCAAAGCAGCATCAATTAAGGCTTGTGATAAATTTCGTCACAATGCAATACAACATGTTTTGAACAACCGTATATATGAATGTACAGTACTTGTAGAACACTGACCAACTGTATGTTTTGTTATAAAGAGAGCAGAATTAAACCATTTAACTGGATTTAGTTCTACACAGTGCGCCAAATATTTAATAAAATCATTGTATTCAGTCATTATTGTTTTTCAATAGTACTTTTTTAATTGTAACACTACCGGTTCTTCTTTCTCAGTTCCAACTGATCAGATGTCTGAGAAATAAATATTGTGACATATTGTGTATCATGAAATTTTTTGAATTATCGTGATATTATATTTTTGCCATATTGCCCGCTTCTAATGTCAACAGGGTAACGTGAAGTATAACAGACCGTTTCTGCCATGAACTGAATTTCTACCTTTTTCCGCTGCTCTGATTTGCGTGATGATGCCCGGCTATGTCTAAGGTCATCTGTTAAAGCAATAGACAACATATACAAATGTATTATATATATGTAGGTATAGGTACTTGCGTACATGTATTATGTATGGGGCATTTTGTTATTACATGTCGTTACTGATATGTGACATAAGTAACATACATAGGACATAAGTATGACCTCATGCCTGACATTGTGTGTGTGTGTGTGTGTGTGGTTAGGAGTTGGAGTTGGACCACCGCTTCCGTGAGGATGCAGAAAGAGTGGCAGCTGAGAGAGTGAGAGAAGTGAGGAGAGAGTTAGCCTGGGAGGAGGAGAGACACCGTATCGGCCTCCAGAAGCTACAGGAGAGGTGCTGCAGTCTTTTCTTTATCTTGATGTTATCTGCGTAACATCGCTAAATTAAGAAATGCACTGTCGCTACAGGATGCAGAAACGTTAGTTCACGCCTTCATCACGTCCAGGTTAGATTACTGTAACGCTCTGCTTTCTGGTTGTTCCAGCCAAAACCTTAACAAGCTTCAGTTAGTGGGGAAGAGCCTTTTCATACAAAGCCCCCCAGCTTTGGAATAACCTACCAGTCTGTGTTCGAGACTCAGACACAGCCTCCATCTTTAAGTCTAGGCTAAAAACTTACCTGTTTAGTCGAGCTTTTGGTTAATTTGTTTTTCTAACTATGTCCCTCTCATCCCCCCTCCCCCCTGCCTCCCCCTCTCTCTTTCCCTGAGCTGAGCGGCTGCCTGTCCTAAGAGGGTCTGACCTGAGATGCGGCCGGTGCACTGCACAGTGGTGTTAAACTGTATCCACTTATACTGTTTTGTGTCTGTCCTCTTATCCGGTGTCGACCAGAGGAGGATGGGTCCCCCTTTTGAGTCTGGTTCCTCTCAAGGTTTCTTCCTCCTGTTGAGGGAGTTTTTCCTTGCCACTGTCGCCAAGACTTGCTCACTGAAGGGCGTGGACCCGGATTCTTTGTAAAGCTGCTTTGTGACAACATCTGTTGTAAAAGGCGCTATATAAATAAATTTGACTTGACTTGACTTGTTTAAGCCTGTTAAAAAAACAGCTTGCTATTCTCTCTGTTTTTTTTTTTTTGTTTAATACATTTATGAGTGTTAGTGCTTTAGCGCAATATTCACAAGACAGCATTCACAAAACAGCAGGCATTGCTAAACATCCAACCAACACAGTAAAACATGCAAAATCTTAATGCATTCAGCGTCTGCTTTATTAAAAACTCTTATCTTGCACTTCCACCCACTGTCCACTTTAATAGACCCACTATACAGATGTATGATTATAGACTACAGTCCATCTGTTGCTGCACAATTTGTCAACTCTGTACTCCACTCATCATTGGTCATTTTCTGACTACAGCATCACTGTTGACCGTATATGCACTGGTACGAGTGTATCTGGCACAGCGGAGTTGCTGGGGTTTTTATACACGTTAGTGTTATTGCTAGGTTGAGAGTGGACCATAACCCATAAAATATTCATCCAAGAGCAGCTCTGTGGTCAGATACTGACCATAGAAGAAGGACCAGAGGATGGCTAACGCAAATTGTACATCAACAGATGGTCTACAGTCTCTAACTGTACACCAGAGCCACAAGGGAGGGGTTTCTAATAAAATGGACAGCAACAGCAAATGTCATTGCATATACACATATACTCTGTCTCTCTCTCTCTCTTGCTCTCTCTCTCTCTCTCTCTCTCTGTAGGTTTTGGAATTCACTGATGTGTGACACAGTGACAGTGACAGCAATTGAGAGTGATTATAAAGTGTCCACCTACAGGCTACAGGTCCTGTCCAGTAAGTTTCAACAGATGAAAGAACATGATCGGACTGTCCAGCAACCAAGCAGCGTTGATCAGGAGCGCTGGCAGAGTAAAGGAGAACAGAAAGACCCTGGAAACATCACAGGTTGGAGTGGGGGCATAAGTGTAATGTACATTCAGTTATTGTAAACTTGACAACAGCAGTTCTAGATGTATTTTTAGATGTATACTCAACATTTCTTTTTTTGAGAAACAAAAAGCTAGTAAATGATAAATAATACACTATAATGATTTATTTACAAGTTTTGGTCTGCCTTAAGATTTGGTCACCAAATACAAGGCATTCTGGATATTAATTTTTTATACCGATTTATATAGCTTATATATATTTTTCAGTCACCGCCTTTTGAATTATTTGAAACCAGTGATGTTGGGCAAGACTTGCACATTCGAATCATTTTACACATTTATCTGCAACCAAGTTGGTTTTATAATATTGAAAACTCTAATTCTGAATTTTTAGACAGCAGTGTCTGTATATGTGCCTGTGTCCATTATGTCCAGCAGGGCAGGAGGGTCTAGCAGAGCCAGTTGTGCTGCAGCCGCGGGCGCCGCAAGCAGGGGGCAGTAAACTGGCAGGCAGACAGGCCGAGAAACTGCGCAAGGCAGCAGAGAAAGCAGAGAGAGCCCGCGCCAAGATTGAGAAGAGAAAGAAGGAGTGGGCCGAGCTGTGAGTTTACATCTGCACAAGAGTGTGTGTGTGTGTGCATGTGTGTGTGTGAGTGTGTAGAGACCAACTCTCTCCATCCTCAGCTATGCCGCGAAACCCAGTGAGGACTGTGAAGACCCTGAGGATGTTCGTGCAATCCGATTGGCCACAGAGAACATGGGTGACTTCAAACTGAAAACGGCCAAAGACTTCACAGTGCCTGAGCACCTGAGGATGAATGTGGAGAAGAAGAAAGCACAGCTGGTCATCCTGGAGGAACAGGTCAGGAATCATAGGAATGTTCATTTTCCCCAAAATTCATTAGACAAACCAGACAATAAAATTAATGAAACCAGACAGTGAAATTAATGAAACTTAATGAAACCAGACTGCTATAGAGGAGCTGCTATATGCCTGGGTATTAAACAGCCAGTATTCTACATTTTTGTTATTGTTGTCCCCGTATTTGTGTGCGTTTTTATTGGAAAAACAGTCATAATTCATTTTATACTATTATTTCCAATCTATCTGTTTTTGTTACTGTGTTTTCTGATGTGTGCAAATGACTTAGTTCTGCAATAGAACGTTAAACACATTTACAACACAAATCTAATTTACATTTGTGCAAATATTTCTTTATTACTTTTGTGCAGATTTCAGATGAATCTTAAAGCCACAGACTGGCTGGTTTTCTGACATTCAAATCATCCAATCCGTTAGCCGTTCATGATACTGTCTTCAGTCGATTCAAGCCTTCGTCAGCCCTCCTATTTCAAGGAAGCAGGGAAAATTCATTTTCCATAAAATGGACCTTTTAAATGTTTGATGTTTGTTGACTGCTATTTGCACAGTGAAAGCAGACCAGTTAAAGACTTTAGACTTGTGAAATCCATGTCTCCTGGTTTGTGTATATCTGTTACAGATCTATCAGAGGAAGAGTGAGATAAATGAGCGTGTGCTGGCTCTGCGGGACTCGAAGGTGGCGCTTATTTCCCTGCTCCGCTCTCTCCTGAGCAAGCTGCGGACCCTGCAGGAGCTGCTGCCCGTGGAGAAGCACCGCCCGCTACCTAGTGTGCCCACCGTGCTACCCGAGGAGACGCCCGAAAGGAAGCTGCGCTACAGCCGTGCCACCCTGCATCGCTACGCCGCCCTGAGGGACCAAGTGGGCCGTCCCGCTCAGGAAGAAGAACAGGTCATTGCAGACAAGCTTCAAACTCTGTCGTTTTCAAATCCAGATTAAAAATATCTGAAATTTGACATTTAGTTTGGTCCAGATGTCCTCTGAGCTTGTCTGAGCACAAAACGTTTTTCAGATTGATTAAACCACACGATTGAGAAGTGAGTTTTTATTGTGAAATTTATCACATTAAATCTAGTCTTTGGTCATATGGGGCTACTGACTTTTAACAAACGACTGAAAATCTGAATGTCTTCCTCCATGACGAAATGACAGACGATCACAAGCACAGCTGTTGCTTATATATATATATATATATATATATATATATATATAAAATAAATATTTATATAATATAATATATATTTATATTTATATAATATTTATATAATATTTTCAATAATATAAAGTAAAAAATCATTCTAATAAGCTGGTCCTGCACGTCTTCACAGGTTTCGAACAAATCAGTAAGAAGCTTTATAGAAATATCCAAAGTGATCAACAGAGCTATAGATGATTTTAACATAACTAAGCTAAATAACACCAGAAATGAAGTTTAGAATAAAATTAATATCAAAAATGCCTCGTATTTTATAAGTGCTTATCAAATCCTCAGGCTGATAACTTGGCAAGAATGTCTATAAATAGACTATTACATTACATTATTGATCATGTTAAAATACATGAAAAATATTTACCAAAATAATTAAAACATGTAAAAATGTTTTCTGACGTTTAGATTGTAATATTTAAATGTACACTGTATTAGTTTTTAGTGTATACAAAAGAATACAAATGATTAATATGGTAAGTGACTTCAAGCTTTTGAAGGATGGTGCATGTATTTTTTTCCTTTCCATCTTTTTACTTTTCAATTTTGTCATATTTTTAGAACATCTGTTTGTATCTTTGAGCTTACAAAGCACTTCAAATTACTTTTAATGTATACAATGTAGTATATCTGTAAATGTGCCATGCTTTGCAGGAGCAGACACAGGATGTGCTGGAGCTTCTCCAACGAGAGAACAAAGAGGACACACACACACAGGAGGAACTCACACACTCACACGCCAACACACACACACAGGAGCAGCTCACTGAACTGGAGCTGGAGATGAAGGACATGGAGGAGATCCGCAACCTTTACATGCAGGACACACTGATCAAACAGGTGTGTGCAGTGTGCTGTATCCAGCATAGAATCAGTGTGTGTGTGTGTGTGTGTGTGTGTGTGTGTGTGTGTGTGTGTGTGTGTGTGTGCAGATTTTTTTCTTTTGGAGTTGATGAACCAAGACATATTGGGTTAAATGCTAGTTCTGCGAGGCTACTGGAGCAAACAAGTAATGGCATTACAAACAAACGTTTGAATACAGTCATATACAAAGTTGTTGTCTTGAGATCAAGAATGTCTTGTGATCTCAAGATAACAGAAGCTGCGTCTGGACGACTTAAGTATCTTGTGATCTCAAGAAAACAAAGTTGTTATCTTGAGATCATTATTTAATCATCTTGTGATCTCAAGAAAACAAAGTTGTTATCTTGAGATCATCATTTAATCATCTTGTGATCTCAAGATAACAAACGTTATTGTGTTGAGATCACGACTTAAGTGCCTTGTGATCTCAAGATAATAAAGTTGTTGTCTTGAGATCATGACTTAATTGCCTTGTGATCTCAAGATAACAAAAGATAACAAAAAATGTCTTGTGACCTCAAGACACTTCTGACTGGGTTAATTCTACACTGAAACATCTCTCCTTCTCTCTCTCTCTCTCTCTCTCTCTCTCTCTCTCGCTCTCTCTCTCTGTGCTGTAGATGGAGGAGGCAGTGTGGCGTTTTGATGCTGAGTTGCGTTTGCTGCGGGACGAGAAGCTGCGGCTGGACGTCCAGATGAAGCTGGCTGACCTGCGGCACGTCACATTGTTTCAGGAGCTTCTCCTGCTTAAAGAGTTCGAGAAGAGAGAGAACACGCTGCAGGAGAGACTCAACACCCGCATGCAGGAGGAGAGAGAGCTGAGGGTGAGGGATAGGAGAGTGTTTGTGTGTTTGCTGAAACAGAGGAAAACAGGGCTAAACGACTACATCATTTGTAAATGTTACAGTTAGGGTCAGGTTGAGGGTTAGAAAAATTGTGCTACTTATAGATGGTTACGTATCGTCACTGTCCAAACAAAAACATATATGTCCAAAATAGTAACTTTACAGTAGTTAAAGTTCATGTAAAGAGATTTTAGACTAGCGTTTCTGTTGGTCCATTCTTCATGAACTTTTCAGACAGCTGCTGTGTTCAAATGGTGTAGAAAAAGTTATAGGTATAATACGTGTGACCCATGTCCTGACAGTGTATGAAAACAAAGATTTATTTGTAATATCTGTGTTTGAATGTCTGTTATTTGTGCTCAGTTTTTAGTAATGCTTGTAATTGCAGGTCAGTTCGAAATGGCACCTTTCAGAGAATTAATGTAGTTATTTCCATGTGTTTGTACTGTGTTTTGTGTGTGTTTTAGTTGAAACTTGAGGAGTGTAAGCAGCAGTTGGAGCTGAAGAAGAGAGACATAGCCAAGCTGCAGGAGAGAGAGAAAGCTCTAACTGCTACCTTCCTCGCCTCGCTCGGGGAAAACAATAAGCTTACAGACTTTCTCACCAGAGTTTTCAAGAAAAAGATCAAACGAGTGAAGAAGAAAGAGAAGACTAGCACTGAGGGTCAGCTGTGTTTGTGTGTCTGTGTGTGTATATGTGTTTGTGTTGGTTTGGTTATTGTAGGATTATTTGTGCTGAAGTTTTGTCCTCCATTCTGTTACAGAGCAACAGGAGGACAGTGATCAGGATTCTGATGAAGAGTCGGACTGGAATGATGATGAGGATGATGAAGAGTCGGAGAGTGGTATTGGTGTGCTGGATGACAGCGTGTGTCCGCCAAGTGAGTTCATCTGGTCTGTCATTAGAGAGCACAGTACTGTCACATCCCTAAACCCTAAATAATGCTCTTTTTTATCAAAACCACATGGGTCTCAATTATTTGCACACCTAGAAATTATTATGAACAAAATGTAACTGAAGCATGTTCCCATTCATGTTCCCCCTGAATGTTCACAAACTCCAAAATGGCTATTCATGACTTCTGGTTTTACTGGGGTATAAATATGAGGATACACAAACACTAAATTGCACACCAAATGTTCATATCCACTGTTGGGACAGTAGTTAACCCTTGTGTGGTGTTGGGGTCTGTGGGACCCATTTTCAATGTTTACCAAAAGAAACAATGATGCGATTTATAATTTCAACCTCAGATTTCTTGGCCTCATTTTCTGTGAAGAACATATAAAACAACACATTTTCAGTGACTTCACACTGTTCACCCCCTACACATTTATATTACACATCTGGTGTTGGGGTGAACCTGTGGGGAGTAAAGTGTGGAGGTGCTGTGTGTCCCTTCACTCTGCTCTCCTCCTACATGGCCTACTGTTAGTGTGTGTGTGTGTCTGTGTGTGTATGTGTTTGTATGTGTGTGTGTGTTTGTGTGTGTGTGTGTGTGTGTGTGTGTGTGTGTGTGTGAGGGTGGACAGCATGGACAGGCTGCTGACTGTCTACAGCTGCTAAAGGAGAACTCTACGCTGGCCACTTGTGATATTTTAAACATCTGGTATTTTTACATAAATTGTTATGCCTGTATTGATTTAAAAAAACAATAGTGTGGTGGGTCCACCAGACCACTGAGTAACAAAAACATCAACACCACACAAGGGTTAAGAAGTTTAGTGAACCTACCTGGAAGGGCACAGTGTATTGTGTACATACGCACAGTAATGAGGGTGTTTAGAGAGGCAAATCTTTTTTTAAATTCTGAGAGTTTTTGTTTTCTTAGACTAAATTTACTTGAGTAATAATTCAGGATTTGTCTTCAGTGTCAGATTTAGCTAATTAACCACAAAGTCATGTGTATGACTTTTTTTTACCCATCTTTACCAAGAGTGCCAATAATTATGGAGCTGATTGTATGTCTAAAAATATAAAATGCAAAAAATAACAACCTCTGGCTATTTTTAAATAAAAAGGTATTGTGGATTGTTTTTATTGTATCCCTCTACTGTTTAAATAGTTCCTCACACATCTTTTTGTGTGTGTGTGTGTGTGTGTGTGTGTGTGTGTAAAAGACTGTGATCCGGAGCTGTTTGAGAACACAGTGAAGTTGCGTGAGCACCGTCTGGATGTGGAGGAGCTGCTGCTGGAGGAGAAGAAGAGCGCAGAAAGCCTAAAGAAAGAGTGTGACTCTCTGCTCAAGAAAGTGAGAAAACTCCTCCCCTTCTCTCCTCTCCACTCTTCTCTTCTACCATTAAATATAGACAGAGAAAACTTGAACTATGAAACGTGATGTATGTGTGTTTTCTCTGTGTCAGGAGAAGATAGTGCAGAGCAGTCTGAAAGCAGCAGAGGGCAACCTGGAGCTCTTTAACAGAGAGAAGCAGCAGAAACTAAATGAGCTGGATGTGGTCGTCCCACTAAGACTGCACCAGGTATGTGTGTGTGTGTGTGTGTGTGTGTGTGTGTTTGTGTGTGTGTGTGTGTGTGTGTATGTGTGTGTATGTGTGTGGATTCTGTCTGTAAAGTAGATCTATATATAGAATAATAACTTTCATAGCTTATAATGTAAAGGTTATTGAAATACTGTCAACTTGACAACAGCAGTTTTTTAGGTGTATTTTTTTATGTATTCAGTATTTCTGTGTGTGTTGGATTGACAGGTTATGCTACTGTTTAACTGTCTCAGTATCCCAGATAGGGACGTCCCAGTACAGTTTGACTCATTTAAAACGTGCATTTGACGATACAGAGTCCCAATCAGATATATGTCTTTTCTAAGATTATGCAGCTGCATATGACACACGTCAAGTATGCTAATGGTAGTAAAGTCCAATTTAGGTAATATGTGCTTGTCTGATAATTACTGTAAACCGCTACAGTAAAATCACTTTATTTTTAATATGTGTATAATGTGAAACAGTCAGAACTCAAGCATTTACTTTAGTTTTTTTTTCCGCTGCTTTTTTGACATTTCCAGTGTCTTGAACAAACTATTTTCATACTTCTAACTGCTCTAAACTTGCACAGTCCTTGTTTTTTTTTGCTTTGAATACACTGTTACTGCTAAATGTGTAATAGCTGTGCACTCACATTTTACGTGCATTTACACACCCACACATTATCTAAGCCACTTATCCCCCTGGGTCACGGGGGTGCTGGAGCCCATCCCATCAGTCATTGGGCGGAAGGTAGTAAACACCCTGGACATGTTATGTGCATATAGTTTAACCCTTAAATGGCCAGGGCCTACCGGTGGGCCCATAGTGTTATTACACACTTCTATAACCTAAGAACACCTCAACCAGTTTGCACTGAAGTCCATGTAGTTACTGAATTATAAGCTTTAGTATGTAATAAGTCTGAGATTTGAAGATAGCTTAATTGTTGGGTTTTCATTTCATTCCACTTAAGTGGAATAGGAGTTCCATGCTGCAGACGTTTAAACTGCTTGTCAACTTTTGAAAATGTGCCTCACATTGTGATAATGTCCGTATATGCTTCCTCTGTGACAGTGGTGTAAATAGAGTGCGATGGGATAAATTACCTTTAAGAAGATTAGATCAGGTACTGATTATTAAAATATCCATTGAGACATCCTTAGCCCTGATCTTTGTCTCTGTCTGTCTCCGAGCAGATTGAGTATACGATTGATGACGTGGTCCCCTCTAAGCTGGGCATGGCCTTGGTTCTGAATACAGCAGCAGTGGGGCGCCTGCAGGAGCGCATTAAGGAGCTGCAGCAAGAGAAGAGCCAGCAGAGGGAGCTCTACAGACATGCCCGCCAGCAACATGTACAGCTCAGCCACGAGCGCACAGACATGGAAGCCAAGATACAGGGTCAGTCAACTATATTCAGGGTCAGACAAGTTTAGCGGCTTTGATGTGAGGCACTAAATGTGGACTAGTCTGGCTGTTTCGAGGAGTTGTGTGTTGTTCGTAGCTCCTGAAGCTGTGTGTGTGTGTGTGTGTGTGTGTATAGAGTTGGAGGCTCGCTGTGAGCAGATGATGATGATGAAGTTTGGTAAACTAGTGGACCTGGAGGCCCTGCAGACTCTGTCGGGCAGCAGGACGCTGGAGGAGATGAGGCAGGAGAGCCGAGTTAGAGAGGCAGAGTACACACAGGAACTCAAACTCTGGCAGGTACACTTACCCACACACTCAGAAGTATATATCCAAAAATATCCAGACAGATGCTTATCCAACATTTCTTTAAAAATCAAAGGTATCCAAAACCCTTCCACTAGACACGGGAATGTTACTGGGATTTCATTCCATCCATCCATCCCGAGGGGCCCTGGACCTTATAAGCATTATAATGAATGGTGACTAAAGTGTGAAGTAAAGTGGCCCCAAAAAGTAATTGGACATTTTTGCCAAACTTAGAATGTTTTAAGTTCATTGTGTTTGGAAAAAAAAGGTCAAACCTAGTGGCTTTCACTGTAAACAGTCCCTTCTGAAAGTAATTGTCTTTTTTGTCCTAAAAAGTGTTTTTCTGTGAAAAAATGTTTTGTTTAAACAATTTTTGAAGTAACTTAAAGAACTTTACCAGTCATTAAATGGTCATGTTTACATGCTTTTTGGGGACACTGCATGTTCATAACTACGTGTTTGCATGCCTAAAAATGTAATTTATGTGTGTTGTAGGACAAAGTGGCTGATGCCAGGCTGGCAGTGACCGAAGTGACCAGAGACCACACTGAGCGCCTGCACAGACTCAACGGCCTACTGACCCAACAAAAACAACTGGAGGATAAACTCAACACCAGACAGAGGAAGATGGTACGTGTGTGTGTGTGTGTGTGTGTGTGTGTAAACAGTGCCCTCCACAAATATTGGCACCCCTGGTAAACATGAGCAAAATCGGCTGTAAAAAACATTTTTATTGCTTATCTTTTTGATCTTTCATTCAAAATATTAATGAAAATCTAACCTTTATTTTGAAATACATGGATTTAAAAAAGAAATATTCTTCTCAAATCTGTGTGTATCACAATTTGCAAAGATAAGAGTCTTTGTCCACTCAAACCATCCTGCTCACTGTGCATGTGGTCAGTATAGATATGTGTCCTCCTCCTGTCAGATTCTTAACATCTCCAATTGTTTTAAGCTTCTTAATTACTGTGCTGATAGTGGAAATGCACATTTTCAACTGTATAGTTATTTTCTTGTAGCCATTTCATGATTTGTGCAGCTCAACAACCTTCTGTCCTACATTATTGCTGAATTCTCTGGTCTTTCTCATTATGAGGGATGACTGAGGGAATTTGGCCTGTGTTTCATCTCATATATATATATATATATATTCCCAGGTGAAATAGGCTGAGCATTTAAGTGTTCCTAATCGCTTAAGTGAACTTTAAAAACCATAAAATATGAATGGGAATGTACTTCAACTAGGTTTTACTCCTAAAAATTTCCAGGGTTGCCAGGGGGTTAGGCTAACTTTCTGGTGGGCCAAATCAAATGTCCTCATGGACCAACTTTGGCCTGCGGGCCACACTTTGGGCGGCCCTGTAATAGCACTCCTGAACGCAAAGTAATTGTTTACATTTTTACGAATGTTCTCCTCCATGTGCTTTTAAATTTTCCTCTGTACTACTTTATAGCCTGCTAGAACAACTAGTACAACCTACAAAGTAAGTGTAAAGCCCTGGCGTGTGTGTGTGTCTGTGTGTGTAAACCAGGGTGCACAGTTCCAGGGTCGGCGGCAGGTTGAGGAAGAGGAGCAGCGACGGATGCAGAAGCTGATCCAGAGTCAGGTTGAGGAAATTGAGTCACTGAGGCAGGAGATCGGCGCCCTGTCCCGAAAAGGTGGAAACATTCTCCCCCCATCACAGCCCAGCCTACCTCCCATCCCCACCATGCCACTCGCCCACATACAGCACCCACACACGCACTTCAGCATGGGCTGGAGACACACCCCTAGCAGCAGCCATGAGGTGGAGTAGACCACTGCTTTACCTCAGCCCTACACACAAACACTTGCACAAGTACAATCTTTGATCAGCTTAGTAATTTGCACAACTATATACATTCACTGTTCCCTATTAAATTATATAAGCATCCCTACACACTGTTTCTCAATGACAACTCAGGCCACAAATAAACAGCTTTTGATTTTGCCTTGCATACCTCTGCTTCTGGTTTACTCACTGTCTTTATTATTACACTACTACTACAAATAGACTTGGAAAAAAGTTAGCTAAGCATTGCTAAAAACAGTAGTAGCAACCACTTTAAAGCTTGTCCGTTTTTGTAAATAACAGTATGTCAACAATTATAGGTGGGCAATATGGCAAAAATATAATATCGCAATACTTCAGGTTTTCAGGTATTGGCATACTGTGTTACACTAAATCCAGATAAATGGGACTAACTTTGCTCTCTATAATGAAACATGCAGTTGGTCCGTGTTCCACAAGTACTGACGATGCATATGTTCGGAAAAGTGTATTGTATTGTATTGCGAGTTAATTTATCATAGTAACGAAATATATTGTCTTATTGCCCAGCCCAGGGGTCGGCAACATGTGGCTCCTTTACTGCCCTGTTGCGGCTCTGCAGCAGCTGGCGTGCAGACTGCTGGTCACCATAGCAATGCGGATAACAGTCTTGTCTAGCTAGTATCTAACGAAAAGGCAAAGAGAAAGATTTAAGACGGACATCGATAATTTGGAGACGAATGGACTTATTTGCATTTATAAGCTGGTTTCCTGATATGTTTAATCTGCAACAAGACACTGTCAAACAGTAAAAAGTCGCAATGCTGATGTCAGCTTCTCGTTCACCAGCTTCTTGTTCTAAATCTCCCGTTCCACCTTAAATTGTGCAGCAATTGCATTCTGGTGCCTCAGGCACCCTTTAAGGTGGAACGGGAAAGATGTGGGTGAATGAGAGGCTGACTTCAGCCTCATAAAAAGTTGAACGTTTAGAGACATTTTACAAGAAACTGTTCTACTTTTGAGGAAAAGTTTCCTGCCGGAGATGCGAGAAAAGTGGCTATAACTGAGCTAAAGCTTAAAGCAGAGCAAAAAAAGTCTGCGTTTTCGTTTATATGTTTTAGTCTATACTAGAACATTAGCTAGCACATATTAAGACATGTTTTCAGCCAAGATGGTAAAACATTACTTAAATAAAATGGACATAAAATATTGTGGCTCTGAAGGTGGTTTGATTTTTTTTGAAAGGACAGAATGGCTCTTCTTAACATTCGAGGTGCCCTTGGGGTAAGGGGAAATTTTGATTTTTGTCAGACTTTCCCTCAAAGCACTTTTATAGGTATAGTTGTTTTATATGGATTATTTTTTACTTACTGAAACAAGCAGAGAAATGAATGTGCTATTTCTCAACTCTCAATCCATACAATGTTTGTGCCTGTAAGTAGAAGAGAACATAATTTATAAAGATTTGAATAATTTCAGTTTCTTTACATTGAAACAAACAGCTCAAAGATGGAAGTTCAGACTCAAAGCTATCCATGCAGAACGTAAAGCGAATGTAAATGTAATTCATTAAACATCTGTGTAATGAACTAATGTAATGATGTAGTTACATATGTAGATGAAAGTAATAACTCTAACTTCTGAGGGTGAAAGCTGGTATCCTTTACATGCCAAAGACATGTTTGGCTCGCGAGTGGGCGGCTCAGCTTTGGCCTGCTTATTTAAGCAGATTTTTGGTCCTGTCCACTTCCCCTGCCCACATTAAAGCAGGAAAGCTCTTGAGTTTGTTCGGCCTCCACAATGGGCCGCCGGCCGATCAAAAGAGGTAAATATTGCACATAATAACTGTGTGCTTTCATAAAGTGGCTGGGAATTGCGGCGCAAAATGCCAGGTTAGGGGTCGTCACGGAAACGCGGCGAGCACGGGGCGGGGCTCTTTGTGCCTGGACGGCTGAGTGGAGGAGAGGCTGAATAGGGGATTAACCCCGCCCCAGTGGCTCTCAATGCAGCGTCCCGCTGAGAGCCAAGAGCCCATTCCCATGCGCTGGCCTTTATTCCAGCCATTCAAGAGTCAATAGACACACACACACACTCACGAACATTAAAATACCACCTCACTCTCACACTCATGACCACTGCACAATATTAGCCCAGAGATTATGACCATCAGGACTTACTTTCAGAGAATAACAAGAGTTCTTATATTGTAAAGTCTGTTAATTGTGTTTATTTTATTTTGTGTTTTACTTGTTGACAAAACATTTTATTACTCCTGAAACAAACAGAATTTATTTAGTATTTTAATACTTTTGATCAAAGAAAGGAGCTTGAACAGAAAGGACAAGAAAGCCTAGTGTATGGAAACATGAAAAAAGTCAGTAAAAAACACAGAATTGAAAATATAAATTAAAAAATGCAGAATTATTGACTGAATACAAATGATAAATATATGCAACCTTTACTAAAGCTACTTATTATATTCTAAATTTGTTAAAAAGTATTTTAGTAACAAAATGCACTGTAATGTTATAAACAACCTGTCTTGTTTATTTGTACACTGCTTTGTATTTTTGGCACTCGGCCCACCACAAATATTGCACTTGGCCCCCTAGTCTAAGTTTGGGCGTCCCGGTCTAAAGCATTTTAAAGACTGCTTGTCAGTACACAGTGAGTTATATTGAGGTTTGTTCATTGAATCGGCATCTTTCGTTCTGCCAGAATTTGATTTTGCTGGGTTGGTTTTGGGTTCGGGAGGCTGGCTAGCAAGAGACCTACAGACATGACTATAGTAAGGAAGATGACCACAAACTGGCCAGCTCTATTATAGCTAAAAAAATCAGAAAATCACCACTCATTAACATAATCAGAAAGAAAAAAAACATATTTTTGAATATTAAACTCAACATACTGACCTTGCATTCAACGGGCTAACATTAGTTACTATAACAGCTGACAGCAGATCACTGCAGAGAAAGGCTAATTACCCAGAGTTCTGACTTGTACAGCACTAGGTGTAGGAGTCTACAGCGAATGACTGAAAACTGTGGTTCTCTCATTGTTCGTTCACAGTGCTGAACTCTTTTCACAGTTAACTGATACTACTTACTAACTAAGCAGCCCATAGGAACTAGCAGAGCTCACCTACACTCTTAAAAAAGATGGTTCTGCAAGAGTTCCTTAGTAAAGGGGATGGTTCTGTTTAGAACCAAAAGTTCTGTATAGAACTATTCCATGCTTAAATGGTTCTTTGCATGGTGAAATGGTTCTTTAGATTGATGGAGAATGTGTTGTACACGCTTAAAAATGACGATCCTTCAAGGGTTCTTTAGTAAAGAAAATGGTCCTATATATAACCATGAACACTCAAAGAACCCTTTTCATGCTTAAATGGTTCTTTGCATGGCGAAAAGGTTCAGTTTGATGGAGAATGTGCTGTAGATGGTTCTATATAGAATCTTTTTGAAAAAAATGGTTCTATGTAGCACCAAAAAGCTTCTATTTAGAACCATTTCTTCATGCAAAGAACCTTTAATCATGCAAAGGGGTCTATATAGAACCATTTTCTTTGCTAAAGAACCCTTGAAGAACCATCTTTTTAGGTGTGAATATGAACTTTTTTGAAAATGTTTCCACATAGCACCAAAAAGTGTTCTTCTGTTGTTATAAGCTTGACATCATAACAGTAGAAGAACCCTTTTTGATGCTATGTAGAACCATTTTCAAAAAGGTTTTATATAGAACCATATACAACACATTCTCCCTGAATTTGAAGAAGCGTTTTACCATGGAAATAACCACTTAAGCATGAAATGGTTCTATATAGAACCCATGGTTCTATATAGAACCATTGCATTCACTAAAGAACCCTTGAAGAACCATCTTTCCTAAATAGTGTAAGTCTTCACCATCAGGAGAATCAGTGGAGGAGGCTAAAACTCTGTTTACATGTTGGTGTTTCAGTGTTTTTGCATGTCCAACAGTGGCATGCAGGTGTGTAATCGTTGCCATGGCGATAGCAACTGTCAATAATTTGTGATAAATTAAGGAGAGCTGAGTCATTCTGTTTTATTCAGTTCAAATCCAAGAAAACAGTGATTTTGCACACAACAATCTTACACTTTGTGATATTTTCATTAACACTTTTTAACGATCAGAAATTGGGGGAGAGGAGTGGCTTTAAAGTTAGGGGACCTAGGCCCCCTCAGACCCCCTCATAGCTACCCCTGTTTCATGCTCATACTCTCCCATCCAGAAAACGCATTAATTCCTTTCCTCACACACACACACACTCTCGTTCTCACCCCCACCCCCCCCAAACACACACTCACTCATTCACACAGACTTAAACACACACTCATTGACTGGCCTGCTCATTGAAACACAGTCAATATGAGGGCAGCACAGCCCGGGCTTTTCTTAACAAGTTTAAAAACGCTCCCACTTCACCTTCACTGAAGGGCCATATCAGCAGACCCCTCACCTTCTACACAAACACAGTCACGCGCTCATACACTCTCGCTCCCACGCCACCACTTCACACCACACACACACGTAGTGGCTGGAGATTTGATCACTTTGTCTAAGTGGACAGTGACCTGATAAAGTCCACTTAGAGTAGTGCTGATTTTTTTAAATGAACGTTTATTGGAAATGTGCACAGATGTGATGCATCAGTCTGATTTAGCTTTTTGGAATATTATAATTTCTATATATATATATATATATATATATATATATATATATATATATGTGTGTGTGTGTGTGTGTGTGTGTGTGTGTATATAAGTAATAATATTACTTTTACTGCATATACATCACATGTAATGTTTATGTATATCTGTCATGTTATATTAAGTATATTTTTGTCCAAAATAAAAAAGGAATCTTATTACTTATATATTCTTATATGATATATTTAAAATAAAAATGGGCTTTTTTCAAGCATTGAAATCTTTTATTACCAGTGACCATTATCTGTGTTTATTACCTATATCCAGCTTCTGTGT